CAGTCCAAGCGGAAGGACGCGGCTGCTGAGCCTGGACCCCGCGCACACTCGCGTTTCTGTCAGCTGAATGCGGTGCTTTATCGTGACTTGACTGATGTTCGGCTCACATGTAGCACCTGTTTGTCCTCTGGTTTAACCCCCTTACAGTGTGACAGTGAGGGTGCTTGGGGTATTTTTCTCCCTGTTGTCCGGCCCCTGTGACTGGCACTGTACAGGTATCTTTTGTGGCCCCTGCTGGGCCTCCCGCTGCGCGGTCTCCGTGGAAACGGCTCCTGCGAGGCGGTCTCTCTCACTGCTGCCTTGGCGTCGTGGGTCTTTTGTGCTCACGCCAGCCGCCCCGTGGGCGCGGGTGTGGATGGTGAAAGAAGACCGCGGCCGGCCGCGTCGTCTTCCTCCCGAATCCATTATCCTCCGGCGTGATTAACAGCCCCGTTCACTCCCAGGGGAGCGGTGCGCCCGTGCATCGAATCCTGTCCTGTTCCGGTTCTGACGCCCTGCCTGCCCCTCCGGGAGACCGTGATTAATCTTCACCGGGAACGAAGGCGAGAAAGGGCACGGAGGTCACTCTGTTCTTCTTCGTCATCAGTAGCATCACAGTATCGATCGGGTCTGGGGTGACCGAAGCTGCGCGGTCTCGTCTAGAGAGGTGTCCTCGGGCAGCCTGTCCAGAGGTGGCTTCCATGCCTCTGGCACCTCCCGCGTCCTGGCGCGGTTCTGCGCCCCGCGAAGGCGTCCGTCACAGGACACCTGGTGCACAGTGCGTGTGCGCCGCGACGCTGGCCTGGTGGAGGGACAGGGTGACATTCCTGGGACGGGGAAAACGAACCGTTCCCGGGAAAGCTCGAATCCGGCCGACATTGCCCGCTCGTGGGAGCAGCACACGTGTGTGGCGCTCAGCCAGCCCGTCTCTGCCTGCCCCGTGCCGCCGGGGGGCTTTGCTGGGGGTGGATTCTCGAAGTGGTCAAAACTGCCGTGGGGTGGGGGTCGCGAGGACGCCACAGGGACCCAGCCCTGTTTGTAAAGATGCCTCCTTGATGTGTATCTCCCTCTCCCGGACCACTTGGGAAACTGCCAGATGAGAGCGAGCCTCATGAACTACAAGGTGCTTCGATTGGTTTCAAGGGACAGTTTCCTGCCCTGGCCGGTTTGGCTCAGCGGTTGCAGCGGTTCTCAACCGTCCTGATGCCGCGGCCTTTAATACGGCTCCTCACGCTGTGGTGACCCCCAACCATGAGATTATTTTCGTTGCTACTTCATAACTAATTTTGCTACTGTTATGTCGTAGGCGACCCCTGTGAAAGGGTCGTTCGACCCCCAAAGAGGTTGTGACCCACAGGTTGAGAACCGTTAGAGCGTCGGCCCTCGGACCACAGAGTCGCGGGTTCGATGCTGGTCAAGGGCACGTACCTGTGTGTCGGTTTGGCCCTGGTCGGGCCGTGTGAGAGGCAGCCAATCGGTGTGTCCCTCTTTCATCTCTCCCTCCCCCCCTCTATCTGAAGATAAATGGAACAATTCCTAGCGTGAGGACTAAATGAAATAAAGGGACATTGTTCCTTTCTTTGGTGGCTTTGGAACATCCTGACAGTGTCTGTTGTTGCCACTTTTGACAGTTTGGCATCACGGTGGCCTAATGTCGGTGGTGATGGTGCTCAGACTGCCGACAGAACTTGCGGTGAGATTGTCGCAGGCCGTCGGGAGGGCGGGCGTGGCCCGGGCTCCACGCTGCAGCCAGTCCCCCGGGCAGAACACAGAGAAGGAAACCGATCATTTACGCCAACCAGATGCCAGGCTCTCCGCCAGGCAGGGTACAGTGCTCTCTCCTCACCCCAACACCTGGGATGTGGTCCCCACGGTGCTGTGGGGAGACTGCGTCTGCACCAGGTCGCTTAGCTGGAGTGTTCGACAGCAGAGCCCTCCGGAGACGCCCCCTCGCCCGTGTCACCCCCCTGCACCGGGTCGAGGCCTTGACGTTCACCCACAGGCAGCCGCAGGTTCTCGTGTGTGTGAATAGGACGCCTGGACGGTGGGCGGAGGGTCACGGAGGGTGTAAGGGTGTCCTCTCCAGCTGTACCCAGTGACCACGCCGTGTGGCGTAAGACCACACAAATGCATCGTCTCACCGTCTGGAGGCCAGTGTCCCTCTCCGGGGAAAACCGAGATGTCAGCGCCAGGGGAGAACCTATTTGCTGCGTTTTCCGGCCTCTCGTCCCCATTCCCTGGCTCATGGCTCCTCCTCCGTCTTCCAAGCTGATGAGCCATCACACCCGCCCCGCTTCCTTCATCACATCGGCCCCGTTCCCTCTCCTCTTCCACCGCCAAAGGCCTTGTTGAATCTCTGTATCGGAAGGTCGGCTGCGCAGCCTTCATTCCATCCCGCCCTCCTCCGTGGCTGTGTCCCCTAAGGTGCCGCGGGCTCTGGGGTGGGCAGTGGGCAGCTTCGGGCACCGTCGTTTCCTGCCGCGCAGAACTTGCTCACACGGCTGACAGCTCTCTGTCCGGCTGGGGGGTCACTTCTGCCCGAGCCCAGCGTCCGCCTGGGTCCCTGGGGGTGCCAGGCTCCCTGCGCCCCTCCCTCGCTCTGTAACCCCGAAACTCCCTGCAGGGGCGTGTGCCCGAAAGAAGGGACTGAATGAGCTGTCCTCTAAACTAGGTCAACCGGCGTGTGTCCAAAGGACACGAGCTAATTTGGTCCAAGATGGTAAAACCTGCGTATCAAAAAGAACAATGGCTGCAGTTGACCGAAACCCACCAGACACGTGCACATCTGCCATTTCGTAGTGATAGCGGGCGGCTAAACGTCTGGACTCACGGACTCCACAGGCCACACTTGACGCCCTCTGCGCAAAGGCTGGACACTGGGAAGGCAGCCCGCCCTGAGGACAGGGTTGGGCCTTCCTTTGGGGGTGTCCTCACACAGCTCGGTACAAGGACGCGGTCTTAGCTTAACCCTTCATGCCCCACAGGTGCCCATATCTTTTGTAAAAACTCACAGGCGTGGCGTCCAGGGTCCCCACAAAGGACACGCCCAGTCTCAAGGGGCACCTCACTCGGGGACATTGAAAGTGTGGCTTCCCTGTTCAGTGTGGGGTTCGTGACAGGTCCTCCCCTCAAGACCTTTCTGTATTGAGGCTCAGGTGCCATTCTCCCCGGTCAGATTCTCAGAGGTCGTCAAACACGGCTGGGGGGCTTTTGTGAACAGCAATTTGGCAGGTTGTTCTAGGATTTTTTTTTTCTAAATCTTCACCCGAGGATATTTTTCCTTTTATCTTCAGATAGAGTGGGAGGGAGGGAGGGAGGGAGGGAGGGGGGGGGAGAAAGAGAGAGAGACATCGATGTGAGAGAGACACACTGACCTGCTGCCTCCCGCACGACCCCAACCAGGGCCCGGGACTGAGCCGCAACCCAGGTACGTGCCCTTGACCGGAACCGAACGTGTGACTCTGGTCCGTGGACTGACGCTCCAACCACTGAGCCAGACCAGCCAGGGCTAGTTCTAGGATCTGACCCCGTGAGTCCCCGGGTGGGATCGTTCATAGGAAAGCCCGGTGAATGCCCAACCGCCTTCACAGAGATGAGGCGGCAGGCTCGGTTCCGAGTGTGCGTCCCCGCGTCCCCACAAGCAGCCCTGGAGGGTGGTGAACCTGGGCACATGCGGGAGCTGCTCTGTGACCAGAGTCCAGAAAACCTGGATGGCGTTAAACCGCCCGGAGGTGCCTGTTACAGTGCTCACTGAGAAAGGGACAAAACTGTGCTTGCATCTCTGTAAACGGTGTACGTTTTCGGAAAACGTGCCCAGAGGGAAGAGCCGGGAGCCTGCCCGGTGAGATGCTGCGACGGAGATGGACCTACCGTGAGCGGAGCCGTTGCTCCTTGTCCTCATTTCCCAGGTCTTCTGGCATGGACGTGAATATTTTCCTAGGCCTGTCTGTCAGGTGCCAGAGCCTGTGACCCTGTGAGTCTCTCGTCGATGTCTCCCGAGTGAGCTCTACTTTAGAGCAGGTTAGACTTGGAGGAGAACCGAGAAGATAGTACAGAGTTTCCACGTACCCTGTCCCCGTTCCTCCTGTTGTTATTATCTTACATCCCTATGGTTTTGTTTTTTAAATTTTTCCTTTATTGATTTTAGAGAGAGAGGAAGGGAGAGGGAGAGAGAACTGGAAACATCGATGAGAGAGAACATCGATTGGCCACCTCCCGCATGCCCCCCACTGGGGATCGGGCCCACAACCTGGGCATGTGTCCTGACTGGTAATTGAACCGGTGACCTCTTGGTGCAGGGTCGATGCTCAACCACTGAGCCACACCGGCCGGACATCACTGTGGTTTTAATGAACCAATATTTGCTCATGAGTAAGTAAAATCCGTACTTTATTTAGATTTCCTTAGTTTTTTTTTACCTAATGCCCTTTTTCTGTTCGGGGATCCCATCCAGGGTAACATATTACATTTAGCTGTTATGTCCATAAATTAATTTTTAATTGGAAAAATTAAACTTTATTTTAAAAGCCTCCTAAACCTATTAACTGTCCATTTTCCCCTTGGTCTCTTGTTGACAAGGAACAAGCCTTATATTAGCTGTGGTCCTTATGGCTCCTAGCAGGGCACCCTGCACGCTTACTGAGGAGGAATCTGCTGCTCGGCCCTGGCTGCTGTGGCTCAGTTGGCTGGGCGTCATCCCGTCACCGGAAGGTTACTGGTTCGATTCCTGGTCAGGGCACAGGCCTGGGGTTGTGGGCTCCATCCTCAGTAGGGGTGTGCAGGAGGCACCGATAGATGTTTCTCTCTCTCCCTTCCTCTCTCTCTAAAATCAATAAAAACATTTTTTAACAAGACTCTGCTGCTCGGTCTCCGGCTGGAGCAGAAGGGAGGGAGGAGAGGAAAGGAGGGAAAGGACAAAAGGAAGCCCCGACCTACACGTAATTGGGAGCCTCGGCTTTGAGGGGCCTTGGTTTCTGTTGCAACTTCATGTAACGAGTTCCCCTGACGCTTGTGTCTCCCAGGTTGGAGATTGCAACCCTGAGTCGGGCAGACTCGGAGCTGGAGGCTTGTCGGACCCAGATCAGCAAGGACGTCATCGCCCTTCTCCTGAGGGATCTGACCAGCAGGGGCCACCTCTCCCCTCAGGTAGAGAGGAGGATGAGCGCTGTTTGCAAAGAGCAGTTTCTGATGCTGGAGAAAGAAATACAAGAGGAGTGTGACCGGAAGATGGTGGCACTGACGGCTGAGTGTGACCTGGAAACGAGGAAGAAGACGGAAAACCAGTACCAGAAGGAGGTGGCGGTGATGGAGGAGGTGGAGGAGCTGCTGAAACGTGTCAGCGAGAGGGTGAGGCAGCTCTGGAGGAAGGCTCTGCTGCCTCTCCTTCCTCTTGGGGATTCATCATTGGTCCATCCAGCTCTCCTTCTACACCTTTATTCGTCCGTCCATCCATCCGTCCATCCATCCATCCATCCGTCCGTCCATCCGTCCGTCCGTCCATCCATCCATCCATCCATCCATCTATATATCCATCCATCCATCCATCCATATATCCATCCATCCATCCATCCATCCATCCATCCATCCATCCATATATCCATCCACCCATCCATCCATCCATATATCCATCCATCCATCTATCCATCCGTCCATCCATTCATCCATCCATCCATCCATATATCCATCCATCCATCCATATATCCATCCATCCATCCATCCATCCATCCATCCATCCATTCATCCATCCATCCATATATCCATCCATCCGTCCGTTTGTCCGTCCATCCATCCATCCATATATCCATCTATATATCCATCCATCCATCCATCCATCCATCCATCCATATATCCATCCATCCATCTATCCATCCGTCCATCCATCCATCCGTCCATCCATCCATCCATATATCCATCCATCCATTTATCCGTCCGTCCATCCATCCATCCATCCATCCATCCATCCATCCATATATCCATCCATCCATATATCCATCCATCCATCCATCCATCCACCCATCCATCCATCCATATATCCATCCATCCATCCATCCATCCATTCATCCATCCATCCATCCATCCATCCATCCATCCATCCATCTATCCATCCATGCATCCATCCATCCATATATCCATCCATCCATCCATATATCCATCCATGCATCTATCCATTCGTCCATCCATTCATCCATCCATCTATCCATATATCCATCCATCTATCCATCCATGCATCCATCCATCCATATATCCATTCATCCATCCATCCATCCATCTATCCATCCATCCATCCATCCATTCATCCATCCATCCATATATCCATCCATCCGTCCGTTTGTCCGTCCATCTATCCATCCATCCATCCGTTCATCCATCCATCTATCCATCCATCCATTCGTTTGTCCATCCATATATCTATCCATCCTTCCACCCCATTATCCATCCACTCATTCGTCCATTTATCTCTCCATCTACACATCCATCTACCCATCCATCCTCCTGTCCACCTACACCTCCATTCATCTATCCATCCACTTATTTACCCACCACCCATCCATCCATCCATCTATTCATCCGATTCGTCTTTCTATCCATCCATCCACCTATCCATCTGTCCACCTGCCTGTCTACACATCCACCTATTTATCCTTCCCACACACTCAGCCCCCTGCCCCCAGAACTCATTTAGAAAGCATTTGTCAATAATGTACTGGGCTAGGCCGTGAGGGTACAGAGAAAAATGAGACATGGGTTTCACATTCAGAAAGTCCACGGTTAAAGGAGGGTCCTCACACGTACAGAATGTGAAGCATGTGACATCGTTCAGCTGTGAGGGCAGAGCGATGCTCACGGTGCCGTGGGAGGTCCTGGGGGAGCAGGAAGACTCTTCACGGGGTCACGTCTACAGAGGGGTCGTGCCGCCAGTGTGCGCGTGTCCTCCGATGGCAGTCACGGGGGCAGCGCTCGCTCCAGCGCAGGCTCGGGGGTCCGACAGCCTGGGACCCCACTCCAGCACATGCTGGCTCTGCGCCTGTGATGGAGCTCAGGGTGCGCCCGCCCGCCAGGCTGGGAGAAGTGAAGTGGGGGAGCAGCGCTGGGCGAGGCCCGGGAGGCTGCCCGTGCCCAGGGCAGTTCTGACAGCTGGCCCCTGGGCCCCCAGGCCTGGCCTCTGCCGGTGGCGGCCAACCCTCGTGTTCTGAGAGGTGTGTCCGCCGCTGTCTTGACAGGAACCGTGCTGGGGTTCTCAGGGGCACCCTAAGTAAATAAGTTGCTGGGCCAGACGCTGAACAAATTGGAGAGTCAGTGAAAAGAGCTGGGAAGATGGAAATGAGTATTTCGCCTCCATCGACTTGTGGGTGGTTGGAAGTGGAGGCAGCAGGTCTGTGACTCGGGGTCCTGGGGAGATGGCGACCGGGCACTGAGCACAGAGCGCGGGCGGCTGGAGAACCCTCTGACCTGCTTAGCTGCAGGGGGTTCAGCCCTTGCCGGAGCCATCAGCACCCCGCTGCCTTCCTGGGTCCCTGCTCAGCCGCATCACATCCGGGGTCCCAGCACCACCGGAGAGCACATCCCTCGACCTTGCCCCTCGACCCCTGGGATTGTTGGGCCCTCCACCTCTGGGACAGGTACACTGTCCCTCACTTTGCTCCACCGACATGCCGCACTCTCCAGTGTCTGTGTGGTTTCCGAACCTGGCACCGGAAGATTGGATTTCAACTTCATCCCGCCTCCCCTGAGCAGGGGAGACACGGGGAAGACCCTTAGCTCCTCCGAGCTACTGTCTTTCCACCCAGAGAGCGTGTGCTTGGTTTCTTTCGGCTGTGTGCCAAATCACCACACACTTAGTAACTTAAAACAACACCCATTGGCATCTCAAGTGCCTGTGGTTGGGGGTCTGGGCCTGGTCTGGCTGGGTGCAGGCACTGTGCGGGGTGCTCTGTGTGGGGTGCTCTGTGCGGGGTACTCTGTGCAGGGTGCTCTGTGCGGGGTGCTCTGTGCGGGGTGCTCTGTGCAGGGTGCTCTGTGCGGGCTGCACTGTGCACTATGCGGGGTGGTCTGTGTCAGGTCTCACCAGCTTGCACTTAAGGTCCCGGCTGGGCTGCCTTCTCCTTGGAGCTGGGTCCGGGTTGCTGGCAGAATCCACTTTCTTGCAGCTGTAGGAGTGAGGCCCTCAGCTCCTGCAGGCTTCTCTTCCCCACAGAAGTTCACGGCATGACCGCTTGCCCCTGAAGGCCTGCAGAAGGAGTCTCTCCCTTAGGAAGGGCCTGGTCCCTCTTTCCAGGACTCTTATCTCATTAGGTCAGGCCCACCCAGGCTAATCTCCTTTCTGGTTAACTCAGAGTCCACAGGTTGGGGACCATCCTTACATCATGAAGACCCTGTCCACTTTGCCATATAATAACCTGGTCTCAGGAGTGACAGTCCCATCACGTTCAGAGTTTATGTGTATGTGTGTGTGCCATGTGCATGTGTGTGTGCATGGTGGATGGCTGCATGCATGCATGTCTGCTGTGTGTGCATGTGTGTGTGTGCTTTGTGCATGTGTGTGCACGGTGGGTGGCTGTGTGCATGCATGTCTGCTGTGTGCGTGTGTGTGTGCTTTGTGCATGTGTGCATTTTGGGTGGCTACGTGCATGCATATCTGCTGTGCGTGTGTGCGTGCGCTATGTGCACGTGTGTGTGCACAGTGGGTGGCTGTGTGCATGCATGTCTGCTGTGTGCGTGTGTGTGCTTTGTGCATGTGTGTGCACGGTGGTTGGCTGTGCATGCATGTCTGCTGTGTGCGTGTGTGTGCTTTGTGCATGTGTGTGCATTTTGGTTGACTGCATGCATGCATGTCTGCTGTGTGTGTGTGCTTTGTGCATGAGTGTGCACGGTGGGTGGCTGTGTGCATGCATGTCTGCTGTGTGCGTGTGTGTGCTTTGTGCATGTGTGTGCATTTTGGGTGGCTGCGTGCATGCATATCTGCTGTGCGTGTGTGTGTGCGCTATGTGCACGTGTGTGTGCACAGTGGGTGGCTGTGTGCATGCATGTCTGCTGTGTGTGCATGTGTGTGCGTGCCTGTGCCTGTGCGTGTCTGTGTAGCGAATCAGCCTCATGTCCGCCTCCTCTCTCCGCAGTCCGCCGTGGAGTGCAGGAGCCTCCTGCGGACCCTGCACGGCCTGGAGCAGGAGAACCTGAGGAGGACGCTCGCCCTGCAGCAGGAGGAGGACTTCGCCAAGGCTCACAGGCAGCTGGCCGTCTTCCAGAGAAACGAGCTGCACGGCATCTTTTTTGCCCAGATAAAAAGTGCCATCTTCAAAGGAGACCTGAGGCCAGACGCAGCTAAGATGCTGCTGCAAGATTACGCTAGGATACAGGTAACGCTGTGACCAGGCTCGCGCTGAGGGCAGAGCCCTTTCCCGGGCCGGCTGGTGAACCTCTGAGCCAAGCCCCGCTCTCCCTCCGCGTGCAGATGAGGGGCCCGCTGCCGCCTCCTGCCCTCTGACTGCATGAGCGCGGAGAGCAGGCCGCTGGGGGCCGGACCACAGGCCGGGGACTCGGGCCGACCTGAGCTGCAGTTCCAGTCCCACCCCACCTGTGTCAGTTTAAGCAAGTGGCCCAGCTTCTCTGAGCCTCAGTGTTCTCATCTGTAAAATGGGGCAATAGAGTACCTGCATTCACAGAGGAGAGACCAAGGTTCAGCGAGCTGATTCAGGAAAGCCAGTGTGCGGCACATATGTTTAAAATAATATAAATACATATGCATAAGCGTGTGTGTGTGTGTGTGTGTGTGTAGGATTTGCAGTCTGTGCCCAGACGTGCCTGGGGGAATCCGTCTGTTTTTGCATATAAGCTGGAGTGTGAGTGTCCTGCATGCACAGCAGATAAACCCTAGATGACGTGAAGATAGTTCCTCTGAGACTGTCAACATCACTGTGGAATTTTTTTTTTTTTTTTATCCTCACCCGAGGATATGTTTTCATTTTTTGTACAGATAGAGTGGGAGGGAGAGAGAGGAAGGGAGAGAGAGTGAGAACCATCGACGTGAAGGGACACATCGAGTGGCTGCCACCCGCACAATCAACCAGGGCCGGGGACAAACTGCAACCGAAGTACGTGCCCTTAGCGGGAACCGAACCCGGGTCTCTCCAGACCGCAGGCCGACGCTCTAACCGCTGAGCCAAACTGGCCAGGGCCACTGTGGAATTTCTCATGGGGCCGGCATGAGGTACGTAATGAGCACGTGTATGCACACACACCCGTGCACGCACATGCGCACACACTCACTGAAATCACTGCGGTCAGCACCAGCTGTCTGGCCTGGTGCAAGCCCCATGAGTGAGGGCTACGGCAGAGCAGGACGGTGCAGGGGAGACTGAGCGACCAGCTGAGCCTGTGGGAAGACAGGGCCACTCCCAGAAGGCACTGGGACGTGAAAGACACAAACCAGCCTCCTCATTATGCTCAGGTTTTCCCACCAGACTGTCAGAGTGAATGCAGGGTGAATTCCATCCTGCCCCTCGATAGGTCTGACCCCACAGCGTCACTCGGATGGGAACACGTCTCGCTGTCCCTTTCTGCTCATGGAGCCGTGGCTCATGCTGGAGGCTGGGGCAGCCAAGCTGGGCAGGGGTCCCAGAAGTCACCATCGTGGTGGTCACGGTGCCACCGCACAGCTGCGAGAGTGCTTGAGGAGGTGACTGAGTTTCCTCGTGTGGTGGCCCGGGCACCAGTCCACGTGGGTCCGGTTCCGTGGGGAACGGGTATGGATTCTGTTGCCAGGACCCTCAGGACGATGCTGGTACTGGGCCGTGTCTGATGACCACTCAGCGCCCTCTGCCTTGCCAGTGTCCTCAGGTGCCTTTGTGTGGAAAGGACACTGTCCACGGCCCAGATGTGTGTCGTGGAACAAAGTTCTGGTCTTTTCGGTAGCTCATGAATGGACCGTTTCCACAGACGGGAAAGCCGGCAGAGCCGGCAGCGGGGCAATGACCACGGAGGCCGTAGTGCCCGCTGACCCGATGGCTGTGCCGCTGGCTGACGCTGCCCTGGGGCGGCCTGACCCCGAGGGCCACTGAGTTCAAATCCCTGCTCAGCCGTCCGCCAGCTGTGCCGCGGGGCCTCAGCCGCCTCCTCTGTGCAATGGGACACGAGTACTCTGTCCCTAGATGACGTTAGATCCGGTGAGAAGTGCCCCGGGCCCAGTGCACACCAGTGTGAGCCGGGTTGTCATGTTCCCTTGTGTCTAGTCGGGTTTTGTTCGTCTTGTGGATTGAGGACGAGTGCTTGCTGCTCTTTTTATTTTAAATCTCACCCGAAGATACCTTTTCATTTTTGTTCAGATAGAGTGGGAGGGAGAGAGAGAAACATCCACGTGAGAGAGACACATCGACTGGTTGCCTCTCGCACGACCCCAACCAGGGCCAGGACGAACCGCAACCGAGGGACAAGGCTAGAATCGAACCCGCGACTCATTGGTCCGCGGGCCGACGCTCTAACCGCTGAGCCAGACCGGCCAGCGCCTTGCTGCCCTTTCTGACTGTGCTCGTCTCCCCTGTGAGTGTGGGAGCCCTGGGGTCAGGGCGCGCGGCTGGTGGACCCAGAACTGCCCCGCCGTCCTGGTGCTGTGTTTTGGGAACTCCGCGGTGTGCGCCCGTGCGTGGGTGAAGGCGACTCCCTGGCTGAGGGGTTCACGCTCCGTCTGAGGGCAGTGACGGTGTTTGGATGGCTCGTCCCAGCGGGTCCGGGCCCTGTGCAGCGCCCTCGCTGCTGGTCCGTGTGTGGTCTTCTCAGCCTGTCACGGGAAATGTATTGTTTTAAATAATCTAGAAAGAATTTTGTCTAAGTTCTACTCAGGCATATTTTCTTGATTTTTTTTTTTTAACAGGAGGACGTAGAAGAGTTAATGGACTTTTTCCAGGCCAGTAAGAGGTACCATCTGAGTAAGAGATTCGGCCACAGGCAGTACCTGGTCCAGAACATACAGTCGTCAGAGACCCGTGTGCAGGGGCTTCTGAGCACGGCTGCTGCGCAGCTGACCCTCCTCATCCAGAAGCATGAGAGGTAGAGCCGGCTGTCCAGACGGCGCACCCGCCCCTGCCTCCCTCCCCCGCGGCCACCGTCCACTCACCAGGGTGCACCCGCCCCTGCCCCCCTCCCCCGTGGCCACCGTCCACTCACCAGGGTGCACCCACCCCTGCCTCCCCTCCCCCGCGGCCACCGTCCCCTCACCAGGGCGCGGCTGCTCCTGACTTAGTGTCTTAGGAAACACTCTGACTGAGACTCCGTGGCGCTGTAGCATTAAACACATACGTGATAGTCGAGACGGTCACGCAGTGAAACCCATGTGCCCGTCCTTCAACTTCAGCAGGTGCCAGCCCAGGGCCGTCCGGTGGGGCTGTCCATCTCCACCCTGGGTCCTTCTACGACAAATCCGGCACAGAAGTCGGTGGGGGAGGCTCGGGGGACTGTGCGGGGAGCCTTGTCCTCTGAGCCCTGGCACACGCTGGCTCTCGCGCTCACCGTGGGAAGGGGCTTGTCTCGGGTCCCCAGGGGTCTGTCTCAGCCCCGCGGGGTGCGGTGCAGCCAGGTAAACAGGTGGTGCCGCCGCCCCTGCTCGGCTGGCCTTTGGGGCACTTCTTCCTCGAAACGATGAACTGTATTCCTTTGAGCACAAGGAGCTCCGGGACGAAGATGGTGTCCTACGGGGCGGTGGTTTCGTGAATCGGTTCTACGAGGCAGTTGTGTTGGGACTTGGAAGCTCTGTGGCTCTATTTAGTGAGGGTTCTGGAGACGCAGACTACAGAGCACCCAAGGGTGCTCGTTAACGAGCTTGTCACTGCAGGTGACTTGACATTCCCGATGAAGTTTTACTCGCGTGGAAGAAACAGTTCCTCACGTTGAACTGAGCTGCCCGATGTACTGCTCTGAGCTACCTCTGAGTTTTTTTTATTGTGAATCCTCACCCGAGGATATTTTTCCATTGATTTTTAGAGAGAGTGGCAGGGAGGGAGAGACACACACACATCGACTGGTTGCCTCCTGCACACGCCCTGACTGGGGTCGGGGATCGAACCTGGAACCCAGGCACGTACCCTTGACCAGGAATCAAACCCGTGACCCTTCAGTTCGGGGGCTGATGCTGTCACTGCCAGGGCCTAGCTCTGATGTTTGAATCTGCTGTGAAAGGCAGGCACAGGCTTATTTCTACGCCATGTATCTACCATTCATTCACGCACCTCTTCATTCCTTCGAGAACTTTCCATGGAGCCCTGGCCGGCTTGGCTCAGCGGTGAGAGCCTCAGCCCGTGGACCAGAGAGTCGCGGGTTCAGTTCCAGTCAGGGGCACGTACCTTGGTGGCGGTTTTGTCCCTGGCCCCGGTCGGGGCCGTGCAGGAGGCAGTGGGTTGATGTGTCTCTCTCACATCAATGTTTCTCTCTCTCCCTCCCTCCCGCTCTGACTGAAGATAAATGGAGAAGTATCCTCCGGTGAGGATTTAAAAAGAAAAGAAGTTTCCATGGAGACCAGAGCCTGTCCCAAGCAGGCAGCCAGCCCCGGGGCGCAGACGAACTGGGACTAGTAGGTGGTCTTGGTAGTAACGAGTGTATCAGTCAGGACCCCAGGGAAACAAGACACACCTGAGGCTCATGCAGTTAAGGCGGCCGCGAGGTCCCACACCCTCCTGTCTGCAAACCGCAGGCCCAGGAAGGCCGGCGACGTCATTTAGTCTGGGTCCACAGGCCTGAGGGCAGGAGGAGCCAGAGGAGCTATCCCAGCGGAAGCAGCGAGGCCGGAGAAAAGGGCCAAGTCCTCTGTCCCCACCTCCGCTCAGGCCCTCACGGTCGGGGGAGGGCAGTCTGCTCCACTGAGTCCGCCATGCAAGTGCTGAACTCAGCCGGAAACACCCTCACAGACACCCCCCGACACCGTGTTCCCGGCACCAGCCAGTCAAGGTGACACAGGGTTCCCCTCACCAAGTGTTCCCTACATTCACCTCCTAGACCTTGCTCCTGCCGCTCATGTGACCAGGGATTCCTACCCCACCGCCTCCTCTCGGAAGATTCTGCCTGTAACACGGTGGCCCCTTGACTGTCACCTTCTCCCAGAAGTCTCACCCAATTCCTGTCCTCCCGGTTGCCCGCCGTCTGTTGGTCTGCAGCGATGCCGACCTGCCCGTCCTGTATTTCAGTCCTGCCTGGGCTGCCCCTCCCCTGCTCCCGCTTCAGGGTGACAGCTCTGGTCCAAACCAGGCGACGGTGAGTTTGGGAGGCGCTCACCCTCTGCCTTCTCTCCCTAGAGCCGGGTACTTGGATGAGGATCAGGCGGAGGTGCTGTTGGAACGGGCTCAGACAGAAGTCTTCTCCATCAAACAGAAGTTGGACAATGACCTAAAGCAGGAGAAGAAGAAGCTCCGTCAAAAACTAATAATTAAGAGAAGACGGGAGATGCTGCTCAAGGTGCGTAAGGAGTTACCCCTCGTATACTGTTCTGGACACCGCGACGCGCCGTGCCTGGCATTGCCGTCGGGAGCCGGGAGCCGCCTGGTGTGCGCAGGCGCCGGGCGGCCGTCTGGCTGACGGGTGGTGACTTTGGAATGCTGTGTCAGGTAGGGTCCTGCAGGCCCCGTCCAGCCTTGGCAGAGCAGAGGGTCGTGGTGGATTAGCAGTGTCTGCTCTGGTCAGGATTGGTGACCACTGTAACATTTATTGAGTGTCTTAGGGTCTTAGTTTGGGCTGCTTCAACACAATACCATAGACGTTGTAAGTGGCTTACAAACAGCAGAAATTTGTATCTCACAGTTCTGGAGGCTGGAAGCCAGAGACCAGGGTGCCAGTGTGGTGGGTTCTGATGAAAGCCCTCGTCTGGGCTGCAGAGGGCTGACTTCTCTGTGTCCTCCTGTGGTAGGTAGAAGGAGCTTGGAGCTCTGCGGGGTCTCTTATTTATTTATTTATTTTTTATCCTCACCCGAGGACATTTTTCCATTCTTTGTTCAGGTAGAGTGGGAGGGAGAGAGAGGAACAGAGAGAGAGAGAGAGAAACATCGATGTGAAGGGACACATCGAGTGGCTGCTACCCGCACAACCGACCAGGGTTGGGGACAAACTGCAATCGAGGTACGCGCCCTTAGCGGGAACCGAACCCGGGTCTCTCCGGACCGCAGGCCAACGCTCTAACCGCTGAGCCAAACCGGCCAGGGCCGGGGTCTCTTATTAAGAGCACTAGTCCCATCCACGAGGGCTCCACCCTCATGACCAAGCACCTCCAAAGACCCCCCCTCCAAACACCATCACTTGGGCATTAGGTTTCACAATGTTCGTATTTGGGGGACACAGACATTCAGATCACAGCATTAAGTCATGTGGTCAAGGTCAAATCCAGTAAGTGGCAGTCATGGGACTGAACCCACACCTGTCTCACCCCGAGCCCTGGCTTTATTCTTGACATTAACCTGCTCAGCCGTGTGCCCACCGCGTGAGATGAGACCCACGTGTAAACACATGCATGTACTTACTGTGCGCGCTTCATGCCGCATACAGCGCGCTCCAGAGGCAGAGAGGACGTTACGCTCTCTGCCGGGAAAGGCTTTGCCGAGCACGTCCTGGGGGACAGACGCCCAAAGCCTGCAGGGACGTTGCCGGCAGCGGGGAGCTGTCTTGTTTGCAGGTGAAGCGCTCAGGCGAGCGTGCCCTCCCGTGTCTGGATGAGAACGTGACGAGCCGGGGTGTGTGGAGGGATGAGGGCAGGGGCAGAGCAGGTGTGCCCAAGGGCAGGGTGCAGTGTGCCGGGGGCTGCCTTCATCCGAGGACAGTGGGGACGTTGAAGGGTTTTGCAGACTCAGGAGAGGCTCCAGTGCTTGGCCAGGTGAGATCTGAGGACCCGACTGAGACAGTGCCCTGAGCTGGGGGCAAGGACAAACTCAGAGGACACGGGGAAGGTACGGGATGACGCCCGGGTGCTGTCTGGTACCATTCAGAAGGGAGGGAAGGGGTGCACAGAAACTTCCGAACTTGATCGATAGAAACCCAGCTTTTCATGATCAAGTTGGGGGCCCAACAGGAAGCCAGGTTTTTCCCTTGACTGTTGAACCCAGCCCCATCCTCGGGCAGCACCGCGCCCATCTCCACGGCTAGCTAGTGCTCCCTTGCTGATGGTCAGGCCTGGTGCGAGGTCAGGAGCTGCAAGACGGACGACGGCCGGGCGCCCAGCCGGCCTCCACGAGTATCCCTTCTTGCCGCCGCTTTTGATGAATAGCGTGAATGGCAGCGTTGGGACGGAGCGCCACAATGGCAAAGATCTACGCCGTGTCCCGGGGTCTGAGAACACCTCGTGCTGAAGGAGGGAACTGACATTGTCTGGTCACCAGGAGCCATGAGCAGGAGGAAGACCATCCACGTCCTCACCAAACAGAACCGACACGACCTGCAGGTCCGCTGTGAGAGACGGCACCACGAGACATCCTCATGAGATCAGCCTGGTTTCCCCACCGCCGGGCCTCTGCTCCTGCTGTTCTTCCTCTGAGGAATGTTCTCTCCCCGAATCTAACCTGACTGAGGGATGACCTCATCCCTCGGGGCCCACTGGGACCTCCTTCCTTAGAAGACCTTCCCTGACCTTATTCTAAAATGGTCTTTCCTGGAGCCCTGGCCAGATAGCTCAGTTAGTTAGAGCATCGTCCCCATACGCCAAGGGTTGGGTTTGACCTCCGGTCAGGGCACACACAGGAATCAACCACTGAGAGCATAAGTAAGTGGAACAAGAAAGCTCTGCTCTCTCTCTAAAATCCATGAACAAAAATAAATAAACAGTCTCTCCTGAATCTCAGGGTTTTCTTCCCTTGTATCACAATTCACTGTGTGCCTGGGACATACCGACAGTAGTAGCAGACGTCCATTGACGTGAACGCTGACGGGCGCTTCTCAGAGCCGCAGGTGTGTGAGCAGCTCGCGGACCCTCACAGCCGCTGTCCCAGGTGGATGCTCCCCGCCCGCCCTCCCAGGCGAGGGCAGAAGCCAGGGTGGGCCCGGGGTCTGCCTCCTGGGCAGAGCGGGAGTTTGACGAACGCTGAACAGATGAAGTTTCCCCTGTGATTCGGGTTGTTCCCTTACGGGTAATTTTCTAAACGCACGCTTGTTGGGGGAAAAGGCTTAATCATTCTCAGCTGCCGGGGACACATTCCAGAGTGTCTGCCGGAGGGCTGTCTGCTGTGCTGGTCCCCATTTCACGCCGCTCTCTGCACCCCTGCAGCACAAGGAGCAGCGGAGGGAGCAGCTGTCCATCGTCGGGGAAGCCTCCCGGGCCGCGGAGGACGCGGGCCAGTACCTGGCCCAGTGGCGGCGCCTGGTGGCGGACCACAGCGCCGCCCTGGAGGAGCTGCAGGAGCGCCTGGACCAGGCGGCCCTGGACGACCTCAGGGCCCTGACGCTGTCGCTGTTCGCGAAGGCCACCGAGGAGCTGCGGCGCCTGCAGCACTCCGCCATGACGCAGGAGCTGCTCAAGCGCGGGGTGCCCTGGCTCTTCCTGCAGCAGATCCTGGAGGAGCACAGCAAGGACATGGCCGCCCGGGCCGAGCAGCTCGAGGCCGAGGAGAGGGACAGGGACCAGGCGGGCGTCCAGAGCGTGCGGCAGAGACTGAAGGACGACGCAGTGGAGGCCGCGGCGGAGGAGCAGGCAGAGCTGCGACACTGGGCGCGCGGGGTCCTCACGTGAGTCACCCTGCGTGTGTCCACTGCCTCCTGTCCCAGCCAGGGAGACGCCCCTGGGGGTAGGGGGCTGAACACCGACATCTGACCCTGGGCAGACGGGGTGGACGGCAGTTTCTAGGCCACATTCGTGACAGCCCAGGGGAGAAGGACACCGCGAGCCACCAGGGCTGCTCGGGGACGTGGTGAACAAGCAGGGCCGAGCGAGGCAGGTGTTGTAGTGACAAGAGGGTGAGGTGGCCCGGCTCCCACGGGAGGGTGTGACCGCTTTGTGTGAATAATTTCCTGAGCAGAACCCACTGCGGATGGACACGCTGGCACTTCGCCTGGTCTCCTGGTTTGACGGGGGGAGAGGAGCCTCTTTGCCTTTTTGTTTGTTTGTTTAATATTTTTTATTTATTGGTTTTAGAGAGAGAAGAAGGGAGAGAGTGAGAGAGAATATTGATTGGCCGCCTCCTGCACATCCCCCACTGGGGATTTGGCCCACAACCTGGGCATGTGCCCTGACCAGGAATCGAACTGGCCACCTCTCGGTGCAGGGTCGACGCTCAGCCACTGAGCCACACCGCCGGGCAAGCCTCTTGTCCTTCTAACCAGCGGTCCTACCGACCAGGATTCCTTGAAGTTGTTTTCTTTCCAACACACCCACCCACCAACCTAGAAAAGCCCATCTAAGCCAAGAACAAACCCAGGGCACCCCACTTTCTCTTGGTACAGACACCACACAGTCTACGTGAACCTCGGTCACAGTTTACATTCTGAATCTGTGGCCATTTTTCTTAGAAACGTTTCCACCGACTTGGGCTTGCGGAGGCGATGGTGCAGGTCGGGGTGGGTGACAAGGAAGGGAGTGAGTCCGTCTCCCTCCCTCGCTGTTGGCTCTTCCCGGTGTCCTCGCCTCTGCCCCGGGCCTGCGCACTTCCTGGGCCCTCTGCGGGGTCACGCAGCAGAGCGTCACCCTGTAGTGCTCTCCTTGCTTGGTGGCCGGGGCCTCCCATGGGACAGGATGTTCCTGGCCTCAGCGGTGACTGCCTCCTCCCACGCCGTGCTGTTCCAGGCCTGGCCTCCCGCCAGGGGAACAGGTCCCCGGGCCTTTGCAGAGACCGATGTCGCCTGGTTCAGATGAAGTGACTTGTGGCTCTTTCTCGCCTCACTTGTGGGGTTCTGGCCTTGGCTCTTTCCCAGCCTTTGTTAATGTCTGTCCTTCTTGGACAAACAAGATGCTGTCGTCTCCCAGCCCGTGAAAACCCGGTCCACTTGCTCGTATCCGTTTTCTGCTCCCACAAGTTGTGCTTGGCGGTAACCGTTCAGCTCAGCCTGCACTCCGCCGAAGCCTCTTCCCGCAGCCCCACCTGCTTTGACCTTGCGAAGCGTCTGACCTGACATCCCTGCCACCAGACGGTCATTTCCTTCAACTTCGTGTGGGCGCATTTTGCCGGGTTACTTCTAAAGCGGCCACGGACGGAGTCGTCCAGGGGAAGAACAGGACGTCCACGCTGCTCTCAGAAAACGCTTCGTGGTTTTCCTGAGGGTTAGGGGGGCCACCTGGCGACGCACACGGCGTGTCTGCCCACATCCTTCGCTTATTTATGGTTCTGGAAGGACACGGCCTTTATTTCGGAGGCATTCTGTAGAAAATGGCTTCGCACCGCGCTTCCGAGACTCGTTTCTATAAGCTTCCCGCTTCCCATCAGGACGGAGCTGCTCCCCGGTCGGATGGAGTAGGATTTAGGAAGGACACATATTTTTGCCAAGGAAAGGGACCTATTCCCGCGTTCCTGCCTGGATTTTTCAGCCCTTCAGGTCAGAGGCCCTGTGTCCTTAGTTCTTTATTATCTTGGCGCCTACGTCACAGAGGGGACAGGACCACCAGGGGCGATGGGTTCGAAGATGGGCAAGAATAATGACTCGCTAATTTCACCGAATTCTCTGGAGCCGGCATACGGGGCAGCGGGCAGCAGAGGGAAGGTTTGACGGGGCCACCGTGGTCTCCTGGGGGCCTGCAGAAAACTCGTGGCCCCGCGGAGTGAGAAACCCCGGAGGGGCGTCAGCGATGTGTGGCTCGGGGCCTTCGGACCCTTCCCGGCCGGGGCCTCTTCGCCCTTCTTGGTCTCACTGTCCCCACGAGAGACAGGTCCAGCTGAGCCACGGGCCTGCACCCCCACATTGACGTTTGGGTGTGGGGGGCCCGGCCTCCCACAGTCGTATCCCACAGGTATTTCTGCCTTTGAAAGCTCCCACAAAACGTGTGCTAGGCAGCTGAGCTGATTGGACATCGTCAGAGTAACCAAGGGACCCGTCTGTCCACAGAGAAGGTTCGTTGAGTGAAGACATGAACACGCTTCCCCCAAAGCAGAAAAGGAGAGAAAGGGTCTCTCTCTCCCTCCGTCGCGCTCGCTCGGGTCAGGGAGGGAATTCCCACCCCCAGGCCCCAGCAGACACCCCTTTCTGTCTCCTTAGCGAGAACTGGGTCCCGAGAGGCGGGGACTGAGTGCGTGGCCGGCCCCCGGGAACGTGGGCAGTGGCCTTGCCTGTGGGGGAGGGGCGACCTTTCTCAGTCCCCTCTGCAAACCGAGGACTGAGTCTCAGACAGGTTAGTGACATGTGGGTGCGTGTCTGTTCCTGGCGTGCCGTAAGGAAACAAACGGGGGGCCTGCAGCTCCAGAAAGGCATCCTCGCGGTGCGGAGGCCGGGGTCTAGTCGAGGTGTCGCGGAGCCGCGACCCTCCGAAGGCTCCGGGGGGCTCCTTCCCCGCCCCTCTCAGCCTCCGCTGTGGCTGCGACCTTAGCGCTGCAGGCTTGCGGGCGCAGCACCCCAATCCTGCCTCTGCCGCCACGTGGCTGTCTCCCTCTGCGTGTCTGTCTTCTAAGGACCCCCGTCCTGTGGGACCAGGGGCCGCTCAGCTCCAGGAGGACGGGCTGCTTAGGTGCAGCTGTAAAGATACTGTGTTCAGATAAGGTCACATTCACAGGCAGTCGGGGTTACGACGCCATCATGTACCTTTTTGGGGGAACATCAGTCAACCCCTAACAGTCCGTCCCTCAGCGTGCTTTCCAGCACGGGATTGGTTTCCAACCTTCCTGACGCCGCGCCCCCTTCATACAGCTCCTCATGTTGTGGGGACCCCCACCCACAAAGTTATTTTTGTTACTTTGTAACTATAATTTTGCTACTGTTGTGTCTTAGGCGACCCCTGTGAAAGGGTCATTCGACCCCCAAAGGAGTCGCGACCCACAGGTTGAGAATCACCGTGACCTAAATGATGACCATCCTTTAAGACCCAGGGCCAGGCCCCTTCCCGGACCCGCCTGCGCAGAGTCGGGCCCCTCTCCGCTGGGCCCTGCACCCCGCTGAAGTGGTCAGCGGCCAGGGTCCGAGGGGTCCTTGGTCTCATGTCTGTTTCTAAAGTGAGAGCAGGTTCTCGTCAAGGTCGTGACAGCTAGAAGGCCTGCCGCCCTTTCACGGACACCCCGCAGCCTCGGGCACCCCGCTCGGAGGCCCCCGCTGCGGTGTGATGTCGTGTCCGGTGCGGCCGACACTAGGTGCTCGGGAATAACCCCCAGAGAGGACGCGATGAAGCGGAGGAGGGGCCTTTTCCAGACGGGAATTTATCTAACGACTCGCTCTTTGAATCTTCAGCTCCCCCACCCCCAGCATGACCCCCACCATTTCCCATGGATGAGAACACATTTCTGTTCTTTTCTCTTCATTAAAAAAAAACTTTATTTATTTATTTGCTTGTTTTTACATCCTCACCCGAGGCTACTTTTCCATTTATCTTCAGATAGACGGGGAGGGAGGGAGGCAGAGAGAGAGAGAGAGAGAAACATCAGCGTGAGAGAGACACATCGACTGGCTGCCTCCCACATGACCCCGACCAGGGCCAGGGACCGAACCGCAAACAAGGTACGTGCCCTTGACCGGAATCGAACCCGCAACTCTTTGGTCTACAGGCTGATGCTCTAACCACTGAGCAAAACCAGCCAGGGCTATTTATTTACTCTTTAAATTTATTTTTCAATTATAGTTCATGTCCAATATTAAATACCGTATTAGTTTCAGGTGTACAATATAGTGATTAGACATTTATATCCCTTTTGAAGTGACCACCCCAAGAAGCCTCGTGAGTCTTCATCTGACACCACATGTACTGATGAGAACAGTGTGGACCGTGTCCCCCAAGCTGTACTGTACGTCCCCGTGACTGTTCCTGTAACTGACGATGTGTACTTCTTACTCCCTTCGCTGCGGCATCACCGACAAGCCGGGCGGGGGGCCTCCCGGCGCCATCCGGGCGGGCGGGGGGGAGGTGCGGCACGTGGACACGGGGTACTGCTCAGCCACCCTTGTCCCTGCCTTACCAGGAGGCTCTGCTCCTCGGCCTTCTCTCTGTCCGAAGAGGAGCTGCTCAGGACGAGGCAGGACGCGCACGGCTGCTTTGCGCAGATGGACAGGAGCCTGGCCCTCCCCCGGGTCCGGGCCCGCGTCCTGCTGCAGCAGCTCCGCACTGCCTGGCGGGAAGCAGAGTTCCTGAAGCTGGACCAGGCCCTGGCCGTGCCCGAGCTGCAGGTAGGACGGACATCCCGCTGGCCGCCTTTTTCCCTTTGAATCCTCACCTGAGGACATGTTTATTGATATTTTTAAGAGAAATATTGATGTGAGAGAGAAACATCAATCGGTTATCTCCTGTACCTTCCCCAACCAGGGATCAAATCTGCAACTAAGTATGTGCCCTGACCAGGAATCGAACCTGCAACCTTTTGGGTATATGGACAATCATCCAACCAACTGAGCCACCGGCCGGGGCTGGTGGCCTCTTGATTGCAGGGGTGGGGCTTCCCCTGCTGGTGCTATAGGGTCCGGCCCCACCGCCCACCCTAGGCTCATCTCGTCGCTCACCCCGTCTTCTCCTCTCCAGCCTTGGTGGCTTCAGCTCTTCCTGGAAGCCCAGGCTTGTCCCAAGCTTAAGGTCTGTGGTGGACACACGATGCCCAGCCCAGATGCCCTCGCCAGGGCCCTTGCACCGTCCACCAGCGGCCATGAACCTAGAACCCAGACAGTGCCTGTCGCATGGTGGCTGTGCAGTGCATTTTGTTCATTAATCGATGAGTTCCTAAGGACCTCGCCATCTCTAAATGGTGCACAGGGCAGATTTTCACCCTCTTTCTTCAAGCTTTTCTGTGGCGCTCTGCCAGGATGTAAGTTCTACCAAGATCTCAGACACCTGGTAAACTGACTCTCACTGGAGGTTCAGGGACATGGGGGGAGGGAAGTCCTGATTTGTAACATTTGCTCATTCCCCTGGTGTAAATACTCCTAAGGCCAGTTTCAGTCTGCCAACTTGACATCACGGTGCGTGAGGTTGGGAAGAGATGCTCAGGATTGTTGCCCCCCTCCCCCACTGCGCCCCCAGCCCCTGGCTTTAAGGACTTGCCCACCAGCCTGGCTCTGTTCCTAAGAGTCCTGGACCCACAATTGTTTTTTTTTTCTTTTGGTATTAACCCTGTTAGATTAGGAAATGAGAACCATAGTTAACTCGCAGAAGTAGCTGAGCCAGCCTGGGTATTTCAAGAACTGAGCTCAGCAGCCAGGAAACCCGAGATCTAGCTCCCAGGTCTCCCCTGATGTGACTTCAGGCCACCGAGTCTGCTTTTCTGACCTCAGCCTCCGCCTCTGTCAAATGTGGGTGTTTTGAACGCAGTGAATTACCAAATATGTGCTTTCTTCCTCTGGCTGGCCGGGGCGGGCCACCATGCTGTGGCAGCCTCCGTGATTGTTTGGGAACCCAGGGCACAGTCTGGTGGGCGGGCCTGGGTCCATGCTGGGGAAGGCAGGGGAGGTCACGGGACAGGGCAGGTGGGCGAGCGGGAAGGGAGACCAGCGCCCACTGGGGGGTGCCCTGCCCTGTGCTGTCCTGAGCGGCACAGGTGTGCCGTTCCGTGTTGCCATGTCCTGTTGTTACCTCATGTTATATTCTGTTGTGTTATGTCACGCCATTGTGTTAGGTTGTGCTGTGGTCCACTGTGGTACGCTGTATTGTGTCACTTTCTGTTTCTGTGTTTGTTACGTAGCGCAGTGTTCTTGCAGTAATCCAGTGAGGCGGTACCCATTTTACAGGTGTGCAAACTGAGGCTCAGGTGGTCGCATCTGCTCCGCACGTTCCTTAATTGAATAACAATGTGTGGAGCACCCATGACCTCGTCTTTGTCTATTCCAGCCCCAAGCTTGTTCCTCCGTCAGGTTTTCACACTCCTGTCCAGTCCCGTGGGTCTCAGCTGCCATGTCGCCCCCTGACATCTGTGCAGAAGCAGATGTGTGTGCAGGCGGTGCCACTGCTGTTCTAGGAGGGTCCGGGTTTAGCTGTGCGCACAGTGCCGCCTTGAAATGATGCGTACTGCGGTGCTCAGCAGCCGCTCCCTGTGCGGACGTCCCTGTCCACTCACTCAGAATAGCCCGTCACTGTCACTGTGTCCCGACTTTCACAGCGTTGCTGGCTTCGGGAAACCGGGCCACGGGAACACGCTGGCGGTCACGATCACGCGTGTTTCCTCTCTCCCTCTCCAGCAACAGTCCAGGGCGAGAAAGCCGCGCACCAAGAGTAAAAGCAAGATCGACCTCCTGAGGAAGTGCATCGAGGATAAAATCCAGCTCTTTGACGAGCCAGCCCCTGAAGACCTGGTTGAGAAGGTCAGAGCCTCCCCTCCCCCGTTTCCTGTTGCACCTGGCAGGGCGCATGGCTGCCTGTCTGCAGGGTACCCGGAGCCCCTGGGACGGCGGCTGCCCATCTCCACCAAACCCGTGGTTCTGTACTGCACAGGAGGACCCACCCCTCCCCTCACGCCTTCGCACCAGCTCCTTCTGTCTGGAACCCCTTCCTCCACTTGTGGGCCTGGAGGTCGCTGGCCTCCTCCTTCTGCTGTGGTTGCCACCACCTTTGCGCCTGGCTCTGCACCTGGCTCTGTACCTGACTTTGCACCTGGCCCTGGGCCTGCACCTGGCCCTGCACCTGACCTTGCATCTGGCCCTGCACCTGGCCTTGTGCTTGGGCCTGCACCTGTACTGGCCCTGTGCCTGGCCCTGGCCCTGCACCTGGTCCTGTGCCTGGCCCTGCACCTGGCCCTGTGCTTGGGCCTGCACCTGTACTGGCCCTGTGCCTGGCCCTGGCCCTGGCCCTCTGCCTGGCCCTGGCCCTGGCCCTGGCCCTGTGCCTGGCCCTGCACCTGGCCCTGTGCCTGGGCCTGCACCTGTACTGGCCCTGTGCCTGGCCCTGGCCCTGGCCCTGCACCTGGTCCTGTGCTTGGGCCTGCACCTGGGCCTACTCCTGGTCCTGCGCCTGCACCTGGCCCTGTGCCTGGCCCTGTGCCTGGCCTTGCACCTGGTTGCTTTACTTCTGCTCCCTTTAATCCTGCACGCCCTCCTCTGCGCTCCCACGGCAGCAAGCCTCCTCCTCCAGCCTGTTTCCCATCACTTCCTGGCCATGCTTCACGCTCCTGCAGGAGGCACGCGCGACTGCTGGTGCTTATCCACCCATGTTCCCTCCTCCTGGAGTTCCTGCCGCCTTACTTCACCTGGTAGATGAACCCCGTCCTCAGCTGTGGCCTCGGTCCTCAGGGGTCCCCTCTTTCAAGAAGCCTTATTGGAACACCTATTCTTCCCACATGTTCCCCCATCTCAGCTCCCCTCTTTATTATCCTCACCCGAGGACATTTTTGCATTTGTCTTCAGATAGAGCGAGAAGGAGAGAGGGAGGAAGAGAGAGAGAGACACATCGACTGGTTGCCACCCACATGGCCCCAATCAGGGCCGGGGACAAACTGCAAATGAGGTATGTGCCCTTAACGGGAACTGAACCCAGGACTCTCTGGTCTGCGAGCCAATGCTCTAACCACTGAGCAACCAGCCAGGGCTCAACTCACTTTCTTTTTTTTTTTTTAAATCTTTATTGTTGAATTTATTACAGATGTTCCTCATTTTTCCCCATTGACCCCTTCTTCCCCACTCCCACCCCCCTCCTGCCTTCCCCACACTGTTGTCTGTGTCCATTGGTTATGCATATAAGTTCTTTGGTTTATTTCTTCCCACCCCCCAACCCCCTTCCCTTTGAGGTTTGTCAGTCTAATAACCAATTTGTACTTCTTAATCCCTTCACCTTTTTCACCCATTCCCCCAACCCCCCTCCCATCTGGCAACCAACAAAATGTTCTCTGTATCTATGAGAATGTTTCTGTTCTGCCTGTTCATTTTGTTTGTAGATTCAGTTGCCAATAGATATGTATTCATTGCCATTTTGTTTGTTCATATATTTTATCTTTTTCTTCAAAAAGACCCTTCAACATTTCACATAGTTAACGGTTTGGTGGTGATGAACTCCTTTAACGTTTTTTGTCTGGGAAACTATATGGCCATCAATTCTAAATGACAGCTTTGCAGGATAGAGTAATCTTGGTTGTAGGTTCTTGCTTTTCATCACTCTGGATATTTCTTGCCACTCCCTTCTGGCCTGCAAAGTTTCTTTTGAGAAATCAGCTGACAGTCTTATGGGAACTCCCTTGTAGATAACTAACTGCTTTTCTCTTGCTGCTTTTAAGATTCTCTCTTTGTCCTGAAGCTTTTGCATTTTGATGTTGATGTGTCTTGGTGTGGGCCTCTTGGGGTTCATCTTGTTTGGGACTCTCTGTGCTTCCTGGACTTGTATGTGTTTCCTTCACCAAGTTAGGGAATTTTTCTGTCATTATTATTTCAAATAGGTTTTCGATTTCTTGTTCTCTCTCTTCTCCTTCTGGCACCCCCAAGATGCGAATGTTGGCATGCTTGAAGTTGTCCCAGAGGCTCCTTACACTATCCTCATTTTTTTGGATTCTTTTTCTTTTTGCTGTTCTGATTGGGTGTTTTTTGCTTCCTTATATTTCAAATCATTGATTTGCTTCTTGGCTTTACCTACTGTACTATTGAATCTGTGTAAATTATCCTTTATTTCAGTTAATGCCTCCTTCATTTCTGACTGTGCATCCTTCATTTCTGACTGGTCCTGTTTTATGCTCTTGATGCCCTCACTAAGTTCACTGAGGTTCTCACTAAGTTCATTGAGCATCCTGATAAGCAGTATTTTGAACTCAGCATCTGTTAGGTTGCTTATCTCCATTTTGCTTAGTTCTTTTTCTGGGGTTTTGTTCTGTTCTTTCATTTGGGACCTGTTTCTTTGTCTCCTCATTTTGGCTTTCTCCCTGTGTTTGTTTCTATGTATTACTTAATGAGAGGTATGGGGCTAGCTGAGACCAGATGCTGCTTGTTTGAAAGAATTTAGGAAAACCTGAAGCAGGATCCAAGACAGGCCAATCCTATGGTTAAGCAACTGGCAACAGCTTGGGTGGGCCTGGAAGTTGGGTGGGGCGGGGCCTCAGGGAATCACCAGGGCGGGGCCAACAGTGTGAGCCAGGTTGCTGGAGTCCCAGATAAGGGGAAGGGCTCACCAAAGGAACAAAGGCCTCTGACAGCACGTTTGTCCCCGAGAAAACCCCCTCTCCAGCCCTTGCTCCAATGCCAAACAGCTCAGTTCTTCCCTGTATGTCTCCGGTGCCCCTCGAGCTACCTCCCCTCCAAGCTTAGAGGGAGTGAGTCTGATAAGTCCATGTGCAAGCCCTTAAGAGGAGCTGCCTGGGGCTCCAGCCGCCTCAGCCTCCCTGAGCCTCAGTTCCCACTGGTTTTACAGCCAGAAGTGATGGGGATTCTCTTCCTGGCACTAGAACCCTGAGTGGGGCACCTGGTGTGGGATGGGGACCCCTCAGTCCTCAGGGAGGACCTTCCCAGCCGAGGTGTCCTCCTGATTTTTATCCTCCACACGTGGGTGTGGGACCAGCCTGGCCCCTCCACCCCTCCTACCAGTCTCCATGTGGCTGCTGCTTTAATTCCATAGTTGTAGGACTTCCACTCAGCGTGATGTCAGGCGATTCTGAATGATGGTTGTTCTGTAGTTTAGTTGTAACTTTGATGTGGTTGTGGGAGGACGGATACTGCGTTTACATACCCGCCATCCTGACCGGAATTCTCAACTCCCTTTCTGTCGGGACACGCTGTTCATTCATTCCCCTAGTGTTTCAGGAGGCAGCAGTGCCCCAGGCGCCGTGTGATGGACTCGGGTCCCTGCTCCACAGGGCACACGTTCTAGGTCAGGGATGGACAGAGAGCACTTAAAGTCACAGACCGTGGTCAGTGCCGATAAGGACACGAAGAAGATGGTGTGAGGGTGACTGGGGGGAGGGAGAGGGAATCTGCTGCAGGTTGGAGAGTCGTCAGGTCTCCGAGGGGCGACTCTGAGAGTTAACATCATGTGATCACTGCCCGTGCCTGTGGGCCCCCAGCACAAGCAAAGGGTGGGTTCCCGGGGGGGCCTGTTCAGGGAATGGGGGCATCAGACCACATTTGAGAGCTGCCGCTTCTGTGCGAACCTTCAGTCTGGGTCCTTTGCGGAGCTTGTTATTCTCAGTTTGATGCGGTACCTGCATTTCTCAGTATGTAGCTGGCGAAGGGCCAGGGGCAGTGCTCTGAGCATGGTCGGTGGCTTCTTCCAGGGTGTTTGGAACAACTTCAAGTCACCCAGAATACAGGTGGATTTGCTGAGGAGGGGAGAAAGAGGAGGAAAGAAAACTAGGAGAAGAAGTAATGGCTGGAAAATTTCCAAAGTTGATGCAAGAGACTCAGAAAATCCCAGACATAAGAAACATGTAAAAAATTATGTTAAGGTACATCATAATCTAATCGGTGCAAACAAGTGATAAAGAGAAATCTTAAGCGTCCAGAGGAGGGGAAGTAGCACAGAGCAGGGTGACTGCAGACGTCTCATTGCAAACAATGTCAGTGAGAAGACAGTGGATCCATGTGTGTAATGTCCTGGGGGAGAAACTCCCCCAGAGTTCTGCATAGACACAAAATGTTTTTCAAGCATGAAGGTGACTTTTCAACATACAAATGCTGACTGTTTCTCTACCAGCAGACACACTGCAAGCTATGTTGAAGGAGGTCCTTGGGGCAGAACGGATTTCTGTAATAGTTGGAATGGCACAGAGAAATGAGTACTGGAAATAGTAACTATACTATAATATACATAACAAGAAATTGACCGTTTTGACCATTTTTCAGTGTCCAGTTGTGTGGCATTGAATACATTCACGTTATTGTGCCGCCATCACCACCATCATCTCCAGGACTTGTCATTGTCCCAAACTAAAACTGTCTCCTTAAACAGCAATTCCCCATCCCCTTCCCCCAGCCCCTGGCACCCACCTTCTGCTTTCTGTCTCTATGAATTGGACACCTCGAGGGACCTCATATAAGTGGGATCACAGTATTTGACCTTTTGTGACTGGCTTATTTCACTTGGCATAATGTCATCCACGTTGTAGCAGGTGCAGAATTTTCTTTTTAAGGCTACACAATAATCCATTGTATGGGTAGGTCACATTTTGTATCCATTTGTCTGATGGACACTTGGGTTGCTTCTGCTTTGGGCTGTTGGGAATAAAGTTCTGCATATTTTATAGGTAAAAGCAGAAGACTTCAATGAGACGTTATGTTTGTGCTACTTTGCATTTCAGCTCCCCTTGCAGGGGAGGGGGTGCACCTTTACAGGGACCTGCCTTTGTGGGCTCAGTAGGGGAAGTCTGGGGAGTGGTAGACTACATTGTTCACTGTAGCAGATTTTCTAGGAAAATCTTAAGAGCTAGTGGTAGTACAGAGAAATACCCAGATGCTGGAGTGAACTACTCAGCTGAGTAAATGGGTGGAGGGAATGGATTCACTCGTCTAGAATTTACTGAGCCCTTTGGGTGCTGGGTCCTCCAGGGGAGCTCGTGTCCTGTTGCGGTGAACGGTGTGGTGAGTGTACCCCTGGGTGAAGGGCGTGGAACGTGGGAGTCACAGAGAAGAGTGACAGTTATGTGCAGAGTGAGGATGTTTCAGAGGGACTAACTGGGACCAGAGACCCAGAGGACAGACAGGAGACTTTCAGGAGGGCGAGGATGCGGGGACATTTCAATCACAGTGAAGGGCTTGCACAGTGGACACAGCGTGGAGCGGTCGGGGAGGGTGGAAGTCCCAGGTGCGGGTGCAGACTGGTCCAGGTGCCCCTTAGCCGGGTCCAGTGTGCCAGTTGGCTCTAGGCATACCTTAGCCGGGGTCAGGGTGGGGAGGGCCTCGGAGCCTGTGCTAGGAAGTCTGAGCCTCACCCTCCACCATGGGGAGCCATGAAGGATCTAGTGCCAGATGGGTCTGAGTGCCCTTCAGGAGTGATCAGTGTGGAGTGAACAGCCGGAGCCCAAAGGCCTGTGGAGTCTGTGATCAGAGGTGCCGCTCTGGTCTGAAACTGCAGACTCCAGGGCCGCCGCTTTGTAAATAGCGGAGACCTTGCTCCGAGTCCTCAGCTCAAGACCGAGATCTGACAGGCTGCTGCCCTCGCTCCCCCCTGACTCCCCGTGTGTCTGGCTGTCCCTGCCAGGTCCGAGGTGAGCTGCTGAGGGAGAGAGCGCAGCAGCTGGAGGCCCAGGAGGGCCGCGTCGCGGAGTCCCTGGTCTCCCTGCAGTTCCAGAAGGCGGCCAGGATGGCCCAGACGCTGTGGGCGTACACTGCCCTGCTGAGCATCCAGGACCTGCTCCTGGAGGAGCTGAGCGTGTCCGAGACCCTGAGCAAGTCAGCCTGCGCCCAGATCCTGGAGTCACACGGCCCCGTGAGTGTGGGCCTGGGGGGTGGGGCGGCGCGGCCATTCACGGCCCTTTCCGGTGCCACCTGGGGCTCTCCGCAGTCCAGTGGGCCTGTCTGAGCCCCGGGGTGAGGGTCTGCTGAGGGGTCCGCAGGTAACTTACCTGGGAGCACATGGTCCCTCCAGCCCAAGGCTACTCTACTTGTTTGCCTCTGGAAACGCAGACGTTTCATTGTGAGGTTTCTCGGGTCTCTGCAAGGGCGCGTCTTCCGCCAGCAGCAGTGCTGTTTCGGCCGCGAGGCTGCGCGACATCGCATGCGGCTTTCGGTGCGTGGCACGTGAGATGCGGTGAAACGTCAGGTTATCGCTGACTTTTAGGGTGCTAATTTTTTAAAGTATGTTTTTATTGATTTTTGAGAGAGAGAGAGAGAGAGAGAAACATGGATGTGAAGAGAACTTCGATCGGCTGCCTTCTGCACACCCCGCTGGAGATGGAGCCCACTGCCCAGGCACGTGCCCTGACCAGGAATCTAGCCGGGACCTCGCAGTCCCTGGGACGACGCTCAGCCCACCGAGCCGCACGGCCGGGCTATGATTCTCAGTATTACCATTATTCCTACATGCTGCCTTTTCCCAGAAAGATGTGTGGCGTGCTCATCAAACCAGCTATAGAAGCAACTGTTTGGGAGACTCATTTTAGGTCCTTGATGAGTAGATTTTAGAATTTTGTGCATTATCTATTTTTTTTCATCCTCACCCGAGGACATTTTTGCATTTATCTTCAGATAGAGCGGGAGTGGGGAGAAACATCGAAGTGAGAGAGACACACGAGTGGCTGCCACCCACACGACCCCAACCAGGGCCAGGGACAAACCACAACCGAGGCACATGCCCTTGGCAGAGCCGAACCCGGGCCTCTCCGATCTGCAGGCCGACGCTCTAACCGCTGAGCCAAACTGGCCAGGGCGCATTATCTGTTTTTACAATAACTGTTTATAGTGAGGAACAGGGGACTCGTGTATTGAGTGCCCAGCGTGTGGATGGACCTGCTCTCACTGAAGCAGCAATAACTCTTTATTTTTTTTATTATTATTTTTTTTTAATCCTCATCCGAGGACATTTTTCCATTTTTTGTACAGACAGAGTGGGAAGGAGAGAGAGGAAGAGAGAGAGAGGGAAACATCGATGCGAAAGGGACACATCGAGTGGTTGCCACCCGCACGACCAACCAGGGCCGGGGACAAACTGCAACCGAGGTACGTGCCCTTTAGCAGGAACCGAACCCGGGTCTCTCCGGATCGCAGGCGGACGCTCTAACCGCTGAGCCAAACCGGCCAGGGCAATAACTCTTTACTTAACTGTGCGTCCTCAGATGCTCATTGAGTGTGCTTACTCATCCGTTGCGATTTTATGCTGCTTTGCGATGATGCAGAGGGTCGCGCACTTTGTCCCCTGCTGAGCCACACCGCGAAGCGTGCTCGGGTAAAGGGGTTCGCTCTGGGCAGGAGGCAGGTCCGTTTCTCTGTGAAGTCCACTCGGTTAGTGAGTCACAGGAACCAGAAATGCTTTCTGCTCTGGCTGCACCCACGGGGTCGTGCTCATGGACCATCCCAGTCGATCTCGCCAACGGGGGTTTTCGTAATTTCTTTTAAAAAGGCATCAATACCGTTAGACTCTGCAGAATCCACAACTGTTTCCCCGTAAGCATCTTGAGCCCTGCACAGTGACAACCTGGCTTTAGGGGTAGGAAGGAGGTGGGGTGTGCCCTGTATTCCAGCACAGACCGCCCAGACGGGGATCAGGGAAGGTGAACTTACGTTTCAGTGCTTAGTGAACTGACAGAAGAACGTGTAAAACCCTCACGGGCCACGGATGTCCGAGAAAGCCGAGCTCACCGAGGGACGTGAAACCCACTTGAGGCTGAAATCCAAGGGCAAAGGGTGGAACCTGGGTCCCAGGGATTTGGGGGTAACTTGGGGGGTAGGAGATGGGCTGAGGGATGTCCAGAGGTAGAGCACCCCATGAGGGTGGGAGGAAAAAGCACCTGCCGTTAGAAGGAAGCACCAGTGACACCTGCCTGACTGCAGCCCTGCCCAGGCGGGGGGTGGGGTGGGGTGAGGGGGGTAGGGTGGGGTGAGGGCGGGCGTCTCCCTGTGAATCTTTAATCAAAGCTCCTGCTAGTATGAGGAACCCCAAAGTTTTTCAGCCATTGTGCCAGGAAACCTCAGGGTGATAATGAAGTGAAAATGGTTCCAGGTCGGCTGCTGCCCTGGCGCACGGCGGAAGCAGAGGCAGGTCACTTCCAGAGAAAAGTGTTCTCAATCTGGACACGTCAGGATTTCCACAGATTAGGTTCCGCCACGTGTGAGTTCTCAGTTAAAATGAGGAAAGTCATTGGACACATCACGAAGCATGAAGGCATAGATACAGGAGAAACAAATAAATGAAATAACAGAACAAAAGCCTCGAAGACGTCAGATGTCTGGGTGGTCAGTATGGAATGTAAAATAATGATTTATGACGTTATTAAGGAAATTAAAGATAATACCAAATGATTTAAAAAGTTCATCCACCTGGAGAGCAGAGGGGTTCCTCACGCACAAGCACGTAATAAAAGACTTAAAACAACAAAAAGAAAAAGTGACAGAATAACGGGGGGCAATGACAGATCTGTCCTCATCGTGGGAAACTGCAGCACACCTCTGTGCGGTTGATTGCTTGATCAAATAGAACCCAGTGAAGATGCAGATGAACTGAATGAGACATTGACAATCTGTATTTAATGTGCAATACACACTCTCAGCCAGCAGTTAGCAAATACGTACTCCTCTTCAGCACACATTGCAACAGTGAAAAATGGTTGACTATACAATAGTCTTTGATCACCTTTTTTAAAAGGACAATAAAGTTTAAACCAGTTTTCAAAAGATGATTAGCAAAAGCCCATACTGTGGAAGATTTTAAACATACTTCTGAATAACTCATGGGTCAAAGGACTCATAATGGAAATGTAAAACTACATCGAAAAGGAACATAGTGTAAATACGACACATCCAAGTTGGTAGGATTCAGCGAAAGCAGTTTTTAGGGGGAAATTTATGCTCTAAACTTACATGAGAGAAGAGGAAAGACTCACAATTAAGATCATATAAAAAGTTAGGGGGAGCCCAGCTAGTGTGGCTCAGTGGTTGAGCGTCGACCCTGCACCAAGAGGTTGCTGGTTCATTCTGGTCAGGGCACATGCCCAGGTTGTGGGCCTGATCCCCAGTGGGGGGCGTGCAGGGGGCAGCCAGTCGATGTTTTTTCTCATCAATGTTTTCATCTCTCTAAAATCAATAAAGAAAAAAATTATTGAAAGTTAGGGGGAAACAACAGGAACCTGTAGTGGAAGGCAGATGGCATAAAGTAAAATTAAACTTTAATAATATAATATATTTAATATAATCACATAACTTTAATAATTTTGGAAAAAATCTCATAAAATACACAAATCTCTGGCAATCCTGATCATCAAAAAGAGGTAAGGGACAAGTAATATCAGGAATATGAAAAGCAACATTGCTATAGATGCAGTCGTTTTTAAAAAAAGAAAATTCAATGAACAGTATGAAAACTGAAATGAAATGGAAAGTTTTCTAGAAAAAGATGGATTGCCAAAATTGGCTCAAGTAGAAAAAAAAGTCTGTATAGTTCTATTGCCTTGAAAGAAATGGATTCAGTAGTAAAAATAAATAAATAGAAAATCTTAGAACACACACAAAAAACACCTAACCCCAATGGCGTCATGGGTGAGCTTTACCCGACTTCTAGGTAGCACATTTTCCCAATCTCATCTACCAATCATCCCTGATGTTAGAAAAATAGGGACTGTGCCCCAACTCACTTTATGAAGCTCAGATAACCTTGAGATGACCTTGACACCGAGAGCAGACATGAGTAGCATGAGAAAGAGCAAGTGCAGTTCAGTCTAACTTGTGAACATTCACGCATAATTCATGAGCAAAATGATAGGAACACAATCCAGCCATCTATTTTAAAAATGACTACAACACGGCCAGGTTGAGTTTTCCCCAGGAATACAAGGCTGGTTTAACACTAAAACCTTCATTTGCAAAATGTACCAGATTAACAGAAGAGGAAAGAAAAAACTCCCACGATCCTTTGACTACCTGCCGAACAAGGATTTCATTAAGTTCAGCAGCCACCCAAGATAAAATTAACACTAGGAGGAAACCTCTCCAAAGTACTTACACAGAACCCACGGCAAGTGTCCCTCTGTCAGGTGAGCGGCATGGAGGTGAGCCATGTCCTGAACTGCAGGCGAGGAGACGAGGTCCGAGGTCCCGGGTCAAGTTCGGGACAGCGACGAGGAGCCGCTGGCTTCAGTTTGCATCCGTGTCCTCACTGGAAGTGCCGGGGAAGCAGCCTGGGTTTGGGCCTGAAGCGCCCGACGGGTCCTTTTACTTGTGAGCACCCGATCTCTGTTGGTAACGGGGAAGCAGCCCAACGCTCACCATCGCAGTGTCGACACCCACGCTTCCTTCTCCCTCGAGTGTTTAGTATGGGAGAGCGCGTGTCCGGAATCGGGACCCTCTGGTGACACAGCGATCGGTGGCGAGGCGCCGGAGGGGCGCGGGCTCCCCGCGATGCCTCTGGAGGGCAGGCTCTGCTCCGGAGGCTAGACGGCCGTTCTGCACAGCGCTCCTTCCGCCGGGCGGCTGTCCAGTCGCGAAGGAACAGGCCTTGGGAGCCGTCACAGTCGGGAGGACTCACAAAGCATGAAATGAGATGCTTTGGCCGAAGTGACTGCTGGGGAAAACGGTACCAAGGGCACCTCGATTGACGGAAGATTTGGGCTGGTTTTGCGGAATTGGATCGCGTGCACGGGCGGATCTCGGGCAGCGATGGGCAAAGTTAAACAGCGTGGACTGGCTCAGACGGATGATGCGGCCCCAGAGTGACCGTGCCCACCGATTTGCACTGCAGCTCACATTGCTGGCTGTCCACCTCCCCAGGTCTGACCGAGTCTCCCTCTAGCCCGCCCTCGGGCCTGCCGCCCACTTGCTGCTCGTCAGCCCGTCAGCCGTCCTGCCTGAACTGTCTCCATGTTTGTTTTGGGTTTTTTTTGCTGCCCAGCCCCAGGGCTCTGAGGAATCTAGACCCGAAAACACAGCCAACAGCAAGGGCAGCTCACGCTGAGTCCAAGCTGCCACGGAGTCCAAGGCGTGGTGTGGCGTTGCACCCTCCCTTTGCGCCGGGATGTTTTGATGCCCATTCTGCAGATGAAGGAGTTGAGGCTTAGGAAATTCGACCTCTTCTCCAAGGTCACACACTGGAAAGCAGCACCTGCCCCTTCTGCCTGAAGCGCCCGGCTCCTGTTCCCACATGGGTTTCCTCCCGCCGCCGTCTTCGCTCCGGGGTCCCCTCCTCGCTGAAGCCAGAGCAGTCTTTCTGAACAGTAACGATGGCCATCAGCTGCCCCACCCCCAGCTCTGTACTTTAGCCCCCCACCCCCACCCCAGACCCTTAGTGTTAGCCTCCTGGACCTCTGGCTGCTTCCGAACACTTGAGACACATTCGGCCTCCCGAGGGACCTCCGCCCAGACGCTGCTCTGCACCCTGTAACTCCTGTCTCTGGGGGCAGGAGGGCAGCGGGCTCTGGGCGTGCCCGCGGAGCCGCTGTCGAGGCTGCGGGTGGGGTGCTGTAGTGGGAGGGGCGTCGTGACCAGAAATCTCAGTGTGTTCGAAGCCCCTGCTCAGAAATGTTCACAGGTTCCGTGGTTCAGTCGAGGCAGGAGCCTGGTGGGTAAGGACACACACCCTGAGCCATCTGGCCGGGCCTCGTGTCTGGCCCTGCCGCCTAAGGGGTGCATGGCCTGGACTCTCCCAACCTCCGTGTTCATCTGAGAAAACAAGTGTGTCCATCGGGTCGCAGTGAGGATTCGGGAGACGGATTCATGCGCAGCTCTCAGCTGCACCCGGCACTCTGAGCACGTGGTATGGCCGTTGGCCATCGCTGCAGCACGGCCTTCGTCCGCGGTGGATGCCAGCTGCCCGGCACGGTGCCGGGTGCTGCCGACAGGGAGATGGAGACCCGGCCCTCTCTACATTCCAGCAGGAGGTCCATGGGAGGGATTTCAGGTGATTGCAGAAACGGGGCATTGTCTTCGTGAGCTTTCACTGCTGCAGACCCTCGACGTGCAGCGGGCGCCTCTGCCGCGTGACCCTTGATGTGCAGCGGGCGCGTATCTGCCGCGTGACCCTCGACGTGCAGTGGGCGCGTATCTGCCGCGTGACCCTCGACGTGCAGCGGGCGCCTATCTGCCGCGTGACCCTCGACGTGCAGCGGGCGCCTGTCTGCTCTGTGACCCTCGACGTGCAGCGGGCGCCTGTCTGCTGCGTGACCCTCGACGTGCAGCGGGCGCCTGTCTGCTGCGTGACCCTCGACGTGCAGCGGGCATCTTTCTGCCCCGTGACCCTCGACGTGCAGCGGGCATCTTTCTGCTCCGTGACCCTCAACATGCAGCGGGCGCTTGTCTGTTCCGTGACCCTCGATGTGCAGCGGGCACCTGTCTGCCGCGTGACCCTCAACGTGCAGCGGGCGCCTGTCTGCTCCGTGACCCTCGACGTGCAGCATGACCCTCAACGTGCAGTGGGTGCCTGTCTGCTCCGGGACCCTCGACGTGCAGCGGCGTCTATCTTCTCCCAGTTCCGGAGGCTGGGAGTCCAAGGTCCAGGTGCCGGCCGGTTCTGTGACTGGTAGGGCCCTCCTCCTGGGTTGCCGACAGCTGCCTTCTTGTTACATCTTCACATGGCGGAGAGCGAAGGGGCCCTGGTCTCTCCCTCTGCTGGTGGTGGTGTTACTCCCACCCCAGAGGCCCCACCGTCACCAGTGACCTCATCTAAGCTGCTCACCTACCGAAGCCCCACCTCCCGTTCCCGTCCCATTGGGTTAGGACGTCGTCACGTGGATTTTGGGGAGACACAGTCATTCCGTAACAGGCGTGCACGTGGGTGGTGAGTGGGCAGGTTGAGGAGGAGTCTCCGTCCTTGAGGCCCTTAGGGAGCCCGTCTCGGAGAAGTTCTTCTGAAGCCGTGAAGGAAGGCTCAGAATTGGCTGGGCGAACAGGGAAAGGCACTGCAGGTGGAGGGCAGCATGTGCAAAGGCCCGGGGGTGAGAGATCGTGGTCCAACCTCAGCGCACTGTTTGCCAAGGCTGGAGGGGGCCGGCCGGCACGACAGGTGGAGCCCGGCTCGCAGTGCCATGCCGAGCAGGTGGGGTTTGCTCCTGCCCCCGCCGTCCCTGTGCTCACCCCCTGCCCCTCTGTGTGCAGGAGCTCCAGGAGCTGGAGAGGAAGCTGGAGGAGGAGCTGGCCCACCAGGAGGCGGCCCAGCTGCAGCAGGCCCTGGCCCGTCGGCAGCAGTGGGCAGGAGACGGGCCCGGGCTTCTGAAGGAGCCTGGGGACACGGATGCTGAAAGGCAGGTCTCCGTGGTCCTGCGGCAAGCCCTGAGCAAGAGCCAGCAGCTGCTGGAGCACCAGCAGCAGAGGTGAGCCGCCGCCGCCGCTGTGCCGGGCCCCGGGCACCGCCCTTCCCTCGGCAGGGCGAGGAGGCGCCCCCAGCAGCCGGGCACTGCTGCCGACTGCACGTGCGTCCTTCCTGCCGCCTGTCCAGGCTGCTGCTTTTCTCTTTTTAATATCACGGAGGCTTCACTGAGCATAATACGTCTAAACTTTTGTTTCTGAATAACTATCGACTCTCAGGAAGCTGCAAAAGTAGTGCAGAGGGGTATGTGCCCGTCACCGGCTTCCCCAGTGGCAGCATCTTACACAGTCGCCACACGTCGTCCAAAGGGGCATCCACCTCGACTCGGGCACAAGGCCGTGGCCACACCCGGCCTCGCCAGTCGCCTCTTACATCCTGCTTTGTGATACGGAACCCCAGGCTTCACTCGGGGTTCTTTCTCGTTAACTTCAGACAGCCAGCCTTGGCCAGCGGCGTAAGGACTCTCGGAAAACCTCATTTTGAGCCGCTCGTTGTTTTCCGCCGTGAGAGTCCCCCCGCTGTGGGCAGGAGGCTCCTTTCGCACGAGCGCGCACTCGTCGGAGGGAAACAGACCGAACTGGAATGCCTGTGGTTTCTGGGTGGGGAGGTCACTGCTGGTTTTAATGTCTTTGTTGACACTGTTCTGGGTAAACACAACCTGAGAGAGTAATTCTGCTCCACGGAAGTCATTCCATGGGGGCCCAGCCTCTGTGATCAGAGGGAAGTGCTCAGAGCTGCCCCTGGATTTGGAGCAGGATTTAGGCTACCGACTCCCTGATGTACCACGTGCTTCCTGGAGGAAATTGCTGGTGGTCAAGCCCTTGGTGTGAACTGTCCCCGCAGAGGGTTTGGGTTGTATTAACCGGCGAGAAGGCGGGCGGATGATCCGTGGTACCAGCTGAGTGGGCTGCGGGACCAGGTAGGTCGGGCCCCTCGTGCGGAAGGCAGGAAGGCTGATGGAGACCCTCCTGCGAGGAGGTGCCACCAGCCTCTGTGGTCAGAGCCGGGACCATCCTTGGAAGATGGTCCCATGTCTGCTGAACCCAGAGGCACACGGTGGATGACACCCCGGAGCCTGGCCTCCTGCACAGCCACCTGCCGTCACCACACACCGGCCTCAGAGCTCCATCCTGGTGGGCTCGCCGCAGTGCGCGATTGCACAGCGGTCTAGGCGGGGAGGCCAGCCTGTCCGGCCATCCCTGCCCACGGAGCTAACCGGGCGTGACGTGGCTTCGATTACGACTCGTCGTCATTCACATAACCAGACAGTCTCACGGTCGTGTTGTCACGCGGTGGCTCATGTCCGTTTCACTCCGCTCTAGTTTGCGAGAGGAGCAAGAACACAGTGTCGTGCTTGAGGACCTGCTGGAGAGCATGGAGGAGGACGCCTTTGTGGCCCTGTACAGCCAGGTGAGGACGCCCGAGCTCCGGCCCCTTGCCCTTCCCTCGGGTCCACCTGTCCTCGCGGGCGGGCGGAGATGCTGCCCGGACCTTGGGGGAGCAGGGCGGGTTTAGGAAGGGCCCCTCGCCCGGGCTGGCATGGAGGGCACATTCCGTCAGGGTGACCGCAGCAGTGCCATGGTCGTTGTCACCCTGATCCGTGTCCTTCCTGGGATTTGACAGGCACCCAAACACCGTTCCTCTCCCCAGTGTTAAACAGGGTGCGTGTCCGCAGAGCAGGGCCCCAGGAGTGGAGCGGGGCCTGGGAACCGGGCTCTGAAGAGGCCGCACGCCACGCCCCCACTTTTCCGGGGCCAGCATGGCTGATCTGTCGGGGGCAAGTGCCTCCCTCTCTGCAGCCCCAGCCACTGCGTCTGTGTCCAGGTCGAGACGAAGAGGTCGCAGTCGCCTCGAGGCCTTTTCTTTCCCAGAGGGACAGTGCCCCCAGGTCCCTGCAGCAGGTCCTCCTCACGTCCCGGGGAGCCCTGTGCACCCCCGGCTGCAAGTCCAGTCGCTCCTTCTCAGCAGGGGGAAGGCAGCGGGGGTGGGGACCACTCCTAGGTGTGCGTCCTGCAGTATTGGCCACAGCTGTCCACGGCACACACAGCGTCCCAGAGGTCTTACGTCCCCACTGACACTGTAACATGCCCACAGCCTCAGTGCACGGCAGACCACAGGTGTGTCACCCGGTAGCGCCGCAGGCCGGCAGTCCCGCTGGGATTCGCGGACGGAAACCAAGGTGTCGGCAGGAGGCTCCAGGGGAGAACTGTTTCCTGCCCGTCACTGCAGCATCCGGTCCGTTGCGGTCGGTCGAGGGGTGAGGCCCTCAGGTCCTGCTGGCTGTCGGCCGAGCTGTTCCCAGCTTCTAAGGCCCCTGTTTTCCGTGGCTGGCCACCCCTTTCCGTCGTCATCCAGGCCGGCAAATCACACCTCTCCGGGCGTCTCCGGCCCTGGCCGCGCCTCTCTGACCTGGCACCGCGGGGAGGGTTAAGGATCTGTGCGGTGACGAGGACGGAGGCACCTGGGACTCCAGGGTGATCTCAGCTCAGGTCCTTAACCACATCGCCAAGCCCTGGGCCATGGAAGGTGACATGCTCACAAGTTCCAGGGCTCGGGGGAGACGTCTTGGGGGAGGGGGTCATCGTTCTTCACCCACACCAAACCAGAAGTCAAGGTCAGCGTCGGCAACGTCAAGGTTATTGGTGAATCTAGGGCGCTCCTTCCTCTTGGATACGGGGACTGACCTGGACTTTGTAGATATCTAAAGGCGAGGCCACCTCCCCGGTGACAGGACCCAGCAAAGTAGCTGACACTCAGATCTCCGTGTCGGGCGGGCTCAGTCACCACCGCCAGCAGGTCCTACAGAGGTGAGACGTGTCCAGGTTCACACGGAGGGGACATGAGGGCATTGCCCGAGGACACAGTTCCACGCGGTTTTGGGGGTGACAGGACCCAGCAAAGTAGCTGACACTCAGATCTCTGTGTCGGGCGGGCTCTGTCACCACCGCCAGCAGGTCCTACAGAGCTGAGACGTATCCAGGTTCACATGGAGGAGACATGAGGGCATTGCCCGAGGACACAGTTCCACGCGGTTTTGGGGAGTGCGGAGCCTGTTCTCTTCCCTAACCTTTTATTTTGAAATAACGTTGGATTTGCAGGAAGTCGCCAAGGCAGCACAGATTCCCGGTGCCCCTCCCGCATTTCACCCGGTTCCCCAGTGGCTGCACCTTACAAAACCCGATACGACCTCAAGGCCAGGACGTTGGCGTTGCTATAAAATCTGTCATTTTATCACACGTGGAACCAACACCACAATTAACATGAGAACTATCCCATGACCACAGAGATCCACCCGTGTCTCCCCTGCTGGTTACATCTACCCCCAGCCCTGGGGACCACTACTCTGTTCTCCGGCTCTGTCAGCTTTGGGATGTCACACACAGGGAGCCACGCAGGACGGGCCCGTGGGGACGGGCTTCTTATGCAGCGCAGGGACCGAAACCCTCGCACGTCCTTCTTTTCGCCACCCAGTGCTGTTCCGTGGTGTGGCCGGAGCGCTTGCTTTCTTTCTCTCTCTCTTTCTCTCTTTCTTTCTCTCTTTCTTTCTTTCTTTCTTTCTTTCTTTCTTTCTTTCTTTCTTTCTAATTTTTTTCTTTATTGATTTGAGAGAGAGAGGAAGGGAGAGGGAGAGAGAGATAGAAACATCGATGAGAGAACATCAACTGGCCGCCTCCTGCATGACCCCCACTGGGGATTTGGCCCACAACCGGGGCATGTGCCCTGACGGGGACTCGAGTTGGCGACCTCTTGGTGCCTGGACTGATGTTCAACCATTGAGCCACACTGGCTGGGCTATAGCATTTTTTTTAACTGTCCACTGGTTTGGGGACATTTCCGTGCTGTCCCCACCCCAGAGCCGCATCCCCTGAGGGACACGGGTAGGCGAAGAAGACATGACTGACCGTTGCTGCTGCCGGCCAGGGCGTTAGATGGTGGTGAGCCGGGGGGAGTCGGGAGGGTGGGTGAAGGCTTTGGAAATGTCACGAGGAGCCAAGGCTGCGGACCAAGAAGACTTTTTTGACAGCTCTGCAGATGTGGGGACGTGTTTCTAAGTCTGAGCCACTGAAATACGTATTTCCCTGGACAAAGCGTCCCAGGCCTGTGTCCGTTAGAACTTGCCGTTCGCCGGGGTTAGAGCGCTGCGGCCTGAGCCCCTGCCTCCCCCCCAGGAGCTGAGGCTGGCCTCGTACCTGTCCAAGCTGACGATGGTGCCGCCGGGCACACTGCGCCGCCTCCTGAGCGTGGCCCTGCCCGAGGCCTCGCAGCCGGAGCTGCTGGCCGTGCTGGAGTCGGTCAGCCAGAAGCAGCCGGACCACGCGGCGGACAGTGACGGCGGGGAGCAGGCCGACCTGGGCAGGAGGGGGTGAGTCAGCGTCCGGCATCCCTGGGAACCTGAGCGAGGTCCAGGAGGAGAGCGGATGGAGGGCGGGGTGTGGGGCCCCCTGGCGCATGCCTGCCCCAGTGGGTACGCCATTCCAGGGCCAAGGCAGCCAGAAGAGCCGCCGTGAATCCCTTTCCAGTCCTGGTGGGCCCACGTGCTCTGTCCACTCTTTTCTCTTCCTGTCACCAACTTATTTTTCAAGTAGAATCTTAAGAAAGTAAGTTTTCTGTGCATGTACCTGGGTTGCAGGTTCGATCTCTGGCCCCAGGTGGGGTCATGTGGGAGGTAACAGTCTATCCATGCGTCACTCCATATTGATGTTTCTCTCTCTCTCTCTCTCCCTTCCTCCCTCCCTTTCACTCTATCTAACATCAGTGAAAAAATATCCTTAGATGAGGATTAACAAAAAATAAAATAAATAACAATGTGAAAAACATGTAAAAGAAAATTCATGGTTCTATCAGCTGGAGAAAATGTCTGTGGCATTTTGCTACAATTCCTCCTGCACCTGTTCTCTGCTGGGCTGTGCACGTGTGGGCGTGGTCAGGGGGCTAGGGGTGGGTGTGGGCGTGGTCAGGATCTGGGTGTGGGCGTGATCAGAGGGCTGGATGGGTGTGGTCAGGGCTGGGTGTGGGTGTGGTCAGAGGGCTGGGTGGGTGTGGTCGGGAGCTGGGTGTGGGTGTGGTCAGGGCTGAGTGGGTGTGGTCAGAGCACTGGGGGTGAGGTGGTTAGAAAGCAGCATGTCACAGCTCAAGTTCCTCCAGCAGCACAAGCAGGTAGTGACAAGAAAAGGGCAGATACTGGAAGTGATTCTAGAGCAGGGACATGCATGGTCACAGGGAAGCTGCTTCTGCCTCAGGTGCCCCCAAGAGGACCTTATTTCTGGGGCTGTCCCTTTGGCCAGTTTAGTGTGGGAGGCTGGGGAGTGGGCGTAGTCAGGTCAGGCCGATGTGGGCATGACAGGGGCACTCAGGTGGCTGTCCCCAGAGCATGGAGCATGACCGTGCCTTTTCTTGGCCCGGCCTTATGGCTCACGTGTCACGGTCTCTGAGGGCAGGAGGCACGACTCTTGTGTCCCAAGTGCCTGGTCATTTTAGTCTTGGGTTTCAAGCAGCAGAAACAGACTGACTAAGCGAGCAGGGTGCACAAGGGACCTGTCTGCAGGCCCAGTTCCTGGGCAGGACCAGGAGAGTGTGCGGGGTGCCCTCCGGGACGCTGCCTCCGAGGACCAGCCTCTGTGCCCACGAGTTAGACTCCTGGAAGAGAGCGCTGGCCCAGCCTGGCAGAGACCGTGTCCTCCACCGCCGGGCAGGGTGCACCAGCCTGGGCACAGATGGGACTCTTGGGTCCACTGTACCCTTTATGGACTCCACTCAACGCAGAGTCCTTGGACATCAGCTCACAGAGCCCATTGTTTCGTGAATGTTCCATGTACTCCCTTTGCCGGGACGCCAGAACTCGACTCAAGTGTCCCCACCTCTCAGCGGCCTTCCTCTGACTGATGTCACCTGTTACCCTGGGGCGGAGCCTGTCGGGACCAGGCCGGAGCAGGCGCTGGGTCAGCGTGCGTAGAGTGAGCGAGAGAACCAGCGGTGAAAACCCCAGGTTCCTCCTGTCAGGGTGCAGCCCGTGGGGCTTCTCAGGATCAGGCTCGCTGGAAGGGCCCAGTCCTTCGGAAAATGTGAGACACTCCCTCTGCCTCCAGGAGACGCCAGGGCTGGTGGCGGGCCCTGGAGAGCAGTCTGCGCGGAGAGCTGGCAGGCAGAGGCTTGGAGAGGATGCGGAGGGCCCGCCAGAGGAAGGAGAGGTAATGACCGGCGCCTGCTGGGTGGGCTGGGAGGGGGGCCGAGGAGGGGACCGTTCCTTCCTAAGGACCACGGCCTGTCCTCAGGAGCGGAAGGTAAGCCTCGAGCTGTCAGCGGGAGGGTGTTCGTTTATCCTGTGTTAGCATCGGGATTGCTGTGCTTTTTGTTTAACCAGCGCACATGGTAACGGGATAGCGTTCGAAGGACAGTAACTCCGTGCAGCTGGTCCGATGGTTGACGCTGCCCATCCTGTTGCACTGAGCCTCCCAGCTTTCCAGAAAGGGGGGGCGATCAAACCGGAGCTTGGGGAGGTCAGAAGAAGGGGCCTAGCTGTAAACAGTGGCCCGGGGGCTTGGGGCATCTACCCCCTTAATTTCCCTGAATTCCCAGACCAAAGCCTCTCCTCTGGCGGGTGCCTCTCCTTTACCGTGCGGCCGCGCACCCGGAGAGCGGGGCGCGCTGGGGAGAGTGGTTGCAGAGGCCTGCAGCTGACCAGGGGTCTCCGGTGATGCCCACTGGGGAAGGTTGGGAGAAACAGGAACATCAAGTGGATTCATGATGGGTATCCAGCGTGTGCCCTGGGAACAGGGGTGTCCAGGGCGGTGTCTAACCTGCGGGCTCCACTCCCCTAATTTCTCAGCGACAAGGTGAAGGTGCTGAGGCCATGCCCCCTTAATTCCATGAGAAAAGTCTGGGAGGCATGGATAAAAGGCTGCGAATCAGAATGTAGTCCCCAAGAACTTGGATCAGGATATCGAGCCCACGCCGAGAAAATGAGACCCGGGTTGTTACAGATGTCGGCGCCCCAGTAAAGGACCGGGATTAGTCGGGGAGCGAAGGCGTTTCGGGGCCGCCGTCCCAAAGCATGTCCCTGTCTCCCGCTCCAAGCCCATTTTGCCTGACTGCTGCTGCCTTGGAGTCAGGTTTGCTCAGCTGCTTTTAGTGTGAGGACCACCGGCCGAGGTGTCCTGGGCTAGGGAGGGAGCCCTGCTGTGCAGCAGGGCCATTCCCACGGGGTCAGTACCCCCACGGTGGCGGATTTCAGGTGAACCCTGAGATCAACGACAGGCTCACAAAACCTGAGAATGTGACAGCCGTGAGTCGGTGAGAGTTGTCTGCAGCTCGTCACCGCCACAGGCTAATTTCGGGGGCCAGTCTGACCAGCAAGGAAACCTTTCTTTAAAACGGTGCTTGACTGGGGATCTCGGGACCAAAAGGGGGTTCTCCTGGGGAACTCAGGACATTCCGGAGTGTCAGTTGCCAAAAATGTCCAACGCGATCTTCGTTCTTTCCCCAGCGTACTGAAGAAGACGTGTCCCCCTCTCAGGGAGAGGATGGCGTCCTCTGGGAAAGGGGGGTGGCCACACCTGTCCCTGGAGCCCAGCCGGGAACTGGTTCCCGTGCCCATTGTAGAGGCAGAGAGCATCGACTTACTGAACACCGGCGAGAAGCTCTTTATATTCAGAAACCCGAAGGAGCCGGACATCTCGCTGCACGTCCCTCCCAGGAGAAAGAAGAAGAACTTTCTGAACGCCAAGAAGTCCGCCTGGGCCTCGGGCCTGGGCTAGCCGTAAGCAAAGTACCAGGGAGTCGGGGACAGAAAGATGTGTGTTCCCCTGCCCACCTGTGTGTGTTTGCAATGTACAACCTGCCAGTACGTATCGCACACGGAAGACAGACACACCAACGGGGGTCCTTCCCTACTCTCCCGGACCCTGTTTACTGTTCTCATGAGTTTGCAGGTGGCCCCTCTCTTTGGCATCACAGGGATGTAATGAGACCCGAGGCCACCGGGCCGACTCGTGTCCCACGGTCTCTGCGTGATGGGCCGGGCGTCGAAGGCAAAGCCCTCTCTTACATTTCATGTTTGTTACATACTCCGTTTGTATCTAAAGCATCTTCAACAATAAATGTATTTTACACAAGCTTTTCTCGGCGGAACTCACCTTTGCTGGGTGTGGGACCATCTGCTTTTCGCCGCGTCTCTGTTTCAGTCACACGTGTGCCACAGAGATTTGCCCTCTGTCGTTCCTGCGGCCAGAAAACGTCTCCAGTTCAAAGAAGTTATGTCTCCCTCTTTACAAAGAGGGACTTCGGTGTCTTGAGAAGGTGAGGCGACGTGTGTAAGTTTGTAAAGCTAGTAAGGAGCAAAATCGGGGTTCCCTCTCCGTGGCCCCAACCTTGTCCTTCCTCCCGGGCTCAGCCCACGGACACACGGCAGCCCTCAGTCGTAGGCCAGCGAATGCACACGGGTCCTCCTCCCTCACTTGTGTCCTGCCCCCTCCGTCCTCACAGAGTGAGGCCCCTGACGTCTCGCTGGGGCGGGACCAGGTCGTGGGATGCGCTGTTCTTCTCTGTGGGTGGAAGATGATTGGGAAGGAGCCCATCACCCGCAGAGCGAAGGAGGGGGCTCCCTGGGGAGCACCTGTTACATTCGAGTTGCTGTCGAGCTTCCACCTGCTGTACCCCACTTTGCAGTCCTCACCGATCCCCCAGCACGGAGGGGGCACTACTCCCCTGCAGAGCCAGGGAGGCTGAGTTGCGGGTAAGTCACTCGCCAGCTTTCACACCACCTGTGAGGGAGGGAGCCCGGGTTTGAACCCCGGTCTCCCAACTTTCAAATCCTTACCCGGCCAAGACATCACAGCTCCTTTGGCAACGTGAAGGCCAGGCCTCGTTTGCAGCTCCCATGAGCATGGGTGCACCACGGCGGACAGGGACCTTGGCCGGGGGTGCATTTCTTCCAGGCAGCCACTGCCCTGTCACCATGGAAACACTGTGTGCATCAGTCGTCACTTACTATTACGGAGTACTACTCAGCTGTAAGCATAACCACACACTGTTCGGGCACCTGTCGACGGACGTTGAGTTGTTCCAGGTTGTGCTGGGATAGCGAAGCTGCGGGGAACTCGGTGTGGGCGTGTGCCCTCACCCCTGGGTGCACGGCCAGGCGCGGGACAGTGTGCATTAGACCGAGAGCGTCTGCCCGGCTCTTCCCAAAGTGCAGCAGTTGACAAGCTCGTGTATGTGAATTCCAGTCCCTGCACATCTCCACCCAGATGAGCACACTCTGGTGCTTTTGTTTTTGGTTTTTAAATCTTCACCCAAGGATATTTTTCCATTTATCTTTTTTTTTTTTTCATCCTCACCCGAGGACATTTTCTATTTTTTGTTCAGATAGAGCGGGAGGGAGAGAGAGGAAGAGAGAGAGAGAGAAACATCGATGTGAAAGGGACACATCGAGTGGCTGCCACCTGCACGACCAACCAGGGCCGGGGACAAACTGCAACCGAGGTACGTGCCCTTAGCGGGAACCGAACCCGGGTCTCTCTGTACCGCAGGCCGATGCTCTAACCGCTGAGTCAAACCAGCCAGGGCTCCATTTATCTTTTAGATAGAGTGGGAGGGAGGTAGAGAGAAACAGTGATGCAAGAGAGACACATCGACTGGCCACCTCCTGCACAACCCCAGCTGGGGCCGGGGACCAAACCGCAACCAAGACACGTGCCCTTGACCGGAATCGAACCTGTGACTGCGGTCTGAGCTGATGCCCTAACCGCTGAGCCAAACTGGCCAGGACTACACTCATTCTTTTTTATCCTCACCCAAGGACATCTTTGCATTTATCTTTAGATAGAGCTGGAGGATGGGGTGAGAGAGAGAGAAACATTGATCGGCTGCCTCCCTACGTGCCCCAACTGGGGATTGAACCCAAAGACTTTTTTCCTTTGTGTGCAGGATGAATTGGCAACCAACAGAGCCGGCTGTCCAGGGCTTGATTGGTTTTTAATAAATATTAAATCAATGTTGTGTTCTTGGGATAAACCCAACTTGGTTATGATATACTATCCTCTTCAGATATATTATTGATTTCTATTTGCTAAAATTTTGTTAACTTTTGCATCTAAGTTCATGAAGAAAAGTGGTCTGTTGCTGTCTCTTCCTGTAATGTCTTTTTGGTTTTGGAATCAAGGTATTGCTGACCTCATAAAACGAGTTGGAAAATATATTCTTCGCTTTTCTGGAAGACTCTGGGGACAACTGGAATTACTATTTTTTTCATGAAATATTTGGTCAGATTCACCAGTGAATTTTGGTGCCTGGAGTTCTTATTATTGGAAGGTTGTTTTTTTTTTTAACTGAAAATGTCATTTCTTTAAAGATATCGAATATATCACATTATCTGTTTCTTTTGAATTCCCTTTGATAGTTTGTGTCTTTCAAGGAATTTTTCCATCTCCTCTAAGTTGTTTAATTTATTGGCATAAAGCTGTCCATCGTGTTTCCTTATTACCCTTTCATTTCTGTGGGATTTGTAGTGATATCACCACTCTGATCGCGGTCATCTGTCTTCTTTATTTCTTTTACTGATCGGACTGGCTGGAGGCTCATCCATGTCATCTTTTCAAAGAACAGGCTTTTCGTTTTATTGGCTTCCTCCACTGTTTTTTCTTGAATTGATCTCTGCTTTTATCTTGGTTATTTCCTTTGGTCTACATACTTCAGGTTTAATTTCCTCTTTATTTCCTACTTTCTTAAGGGGGAATCTGAGGTCATAGACTTGAGATCTTTCTTCTTTTCTTACCTAGGCATTTAGTGCTATAAATGTCCCTCAAAGAAATGTGTTAGGACAGCCAACAAATTTCTTTCTTTTTAATCCTCACCGGGGGATATTTTTCTATTTATCTTCAGATAGAGTGGAAGGGGGGGAAGGAAGAGAGAGAGAAACATTGATGTGAGAGGGACACATCGACTGGCTGCCTCCCACACGACCCCGACCAGAGCCGGGGACGAACTGCAACTGAGATACGTGCCCTTGGCCGGAATCGAACCCGTGACTCATTGGTCTGCGGGCCGGTGCTCTAACTGCTGAGCCAAACCGGCCTGGGCTCAGCCAACAAATTTCAATAGTGTCAGCCCCGGGTTGAGTTTAGTCGATGACTTCTCCTCATTCTGCATCATGTTTTCTGCTTCTCTACCTGCCTGGTATTTCTTAATAGAATGCCGGTTAGCTTGCCAGGTGCTAGATATATTTGTATTCTTATAAATAACCTTGAGCTTTGTTCTGGGGAACAGTTCAGCACTTGGAAACCTTGCGATCCTTGGGAGTCTGGTTTGTAAGGGTCGTTAGCTGGGGCCTAGGGCAGTGTTTCGTCGGTGACCACTATCCCCGGTTATTGAGACACGGTTCTGAGGACGCTACAGGATGAGCCCCGACTTACAGGGTTTTCCGGTCTGGTTGGTGGGAAGCAGCCCCGTTCCCAGCCCTGTGTGAGCGCTGACACCGCTCCCGCCAAACCTGCCCCGGGGCGCGCTCCCTGGCCTCACGCGGGTTTCCTGACGCGCATGCGGGGTCGGCGCTTCCTGCAGAGGAGGGTGGCCCTTCGCAGGCCTCTGGGCTTGCCCCCCGCTGTCCTGCCCTCAGGTGGCAGTCTGGCCCCCTGAGCTTTGTAGACGCTCATCTCCTAAACTTGGGGACCCCCAGGCTCCACCTGGGCTCCCTTCCCTGCAGCAGAGTCTAGAATGTCTCTCCAGGCAGAAGGGGCGGTGACCACAGGGATCACCTCACTGGTGTCCACAAGGTCGGTGTCCTCTACTGCCTCACGTCCAGGCCTTGAAAACTATTGTTTTCTACCTTTTGTCAATTGTAAAAAATGATCCAAGTGAGAGAAATCGGGTCCTTGTTGCACAGTTGGGTACAAGCTTCAAGCTAAAGTAGTTTTAAAGATAAAGATAACTTACCTTTCTCGTATCAGCAAGTTCATTACCTTTCCACACCACTAAGATTCTTTTCCTTTTTCTGTGAATTTGCTTATTCCCTTCTTGGCTCGTTTTTCTCTTTGTAGGATTTTTCCTTCTCCCATGGTTTTGGGAAACTCTATAGAGACTTGTATGTTAGGGATAACAACTCCTTGTTAATACTGTGCTTTAAATTCCAGATATTTTCCAAGAGTAACATTTGTCACTTGAATTTTTATGTGTTTTTGTCATGAAAATGTTTTTACTTATTTTTAAGATATTGTTCCTATTACTTCTAAATTATTCAATGTATTTCTTTAAAAAAAAAAAGCAAACACCATGAATAAGCACATGAGGTGGGAATCAAGCAAAACAGGTAAACTCTTGAAGCATCTCTTGGCGGAGGGACACTAAGATCCTGATGGAACAGCCACACTCAGTACCCAGACTTGATTCAGGGAATAATAAGAAGATCTTTGAAATACATTTGCATTGACCATGTGCAGAAACCCATGTTAGAAATCAGCTGCTAAAGTCGAATGAGGTCAGCTGCTGCATGTTGAATTCAGTAGTTCCTCCGTGCAAAGCTCTGGTGACAGTGAAATGGTGGGAGCCCAGGCCGGGGGGACACACGTGGCCTCGGCAGAGAAGCATGCCGCGGGGAGGGGGCCACCGTCTGCGGAGCCCCTGCTTCGTGTCAGACGCAGGACAGGAGACGACAGCCGTGTGGGAGTCACCCTGTAGCGTCACCCTGTGTGTGGCTGCCTGGCCTTCCGAATTCCCATTCCAAGTTCGGAAAAAGTCTCTCCTCGTGCCACCTGCACCCCCCCCCCCCCCACCAGAGGCAGAACTCGCCCTCCCACTTCCCTTGCACACCCATGGCACACCCGGGCAGGCATGGGACTCCGGCTCCACCAATTAGATGCGCCCACGGAAACCTCGACTGGGACGAGAGAGGATGGGATGAGCGAGCACGCAGGGACGTAGGGAAATCCACTCCCAGGAGGATCCGCGGGCTCCTTTCACAGAGGGGCGGGGC